TAGTTCAGTATGTAGTTTGTTAATCCAAAGTAATTCAGAGGCACAAGAGGCAAGAGCTCTATATTCTGCTTCAGTTGAGGAATGAGCAACAAACTTTTGTTTCTTTGAACACCAAGAAATAATATTACCACCGAGGTAGACAATATAAGCTGATGTGGATGTGTAATCATCTCGAGTGCTAGCCCAATCGGCATCTGTAAAAGCTATAATATGAGTACTCTGATGACGTTTAAGAAAGAGGCCATGATTTATGGTGGACTTTAAATACTGCAAGACTCTCTTAGCAGCGGACCAATGATTTTTAGAGGGAGAATGCATGAACTGTGCTAGCTTGTTTGCAGCATAAGAGATATTTGGTCTAGTGAGAGACAAATATTTTAGAACGCCAATAACTTGTCAGAACTTTATAGTGTCAGCTGGCAATGATCGATCATTGAGCTGAAGAAACTGAGTAGAAGACATGGGCATTGCTGACTCCTTTGCACCAGACATGTTAGTCTTCTCTAGTAAGTCACGGATGTGCTTGTGTTGAGTTAAAAGTAATCTAGATTTAGTAGGAAGAACCCGAATGCTAAGAAAATAATGAAGATCACCAAGATCTTTCACATAGTAGTAGGTTGCTAGAGCTTGCAGAAATGAGATAAAAAGTCATTGTTGTTGCCAGTGACGATCAAATCATCTACATAGATCAGAAAGTAGAGCGTGATGGTTTTAGTACGATAAATAAAAAAGAAGCATCACTATTGGAGTTTACAAACCCATAGGAGAGAAAAAAACCCTTCAGTTCATTGTACCACACTCGCGGAGCCTGTTTGATGCCATAAATGGCCTTGCGAAGTTTACACACAAAGGTCAGATGAGAGCGATCTATAAAACCTGGAGGTTGTTGCCATGTAAAAAGGTATTGTTAACATCGAAAGAGACCATCCATGGGACAACGCAAGACTACGAACAAGGTAAATAATAGTTAGCTTAACAACTGGACTAAGGGCCCGTTTAGTTCGCTGATTCGAGTTTCTAATTCGAGTTTAGATGTGACTTTATGTGAGATCTTTTTACTGTAGTAAAAAAGTTAGATGTGACTATTTCTAATAGCCTTTTACTGTAGTAAAACTCAAATTCTAAGGCCATTGTTAACATCCAAAGAGACCATCCATGGGACAACGCAAGACTATGAACAAGGTAAATAATAGTTGGCTTAACAACTGGACTAAGGGCCTGTTTAGTTCGCTGATTCGAGTTTCTAATTCAAGTTGAGATGTGAGTTTATGTGAGATCTTTTTACTGTAGCAAAAAAGTTAGATGTGACTGTTTCTGAGAACCTTTTACTGTAGCAAAACTTGAATTCTAAACTTGAATCGGTGAAATGAACAGGGCTTAAAGGTGTCATGAAAATCCACACCAAGCCGTTGGTGAAATCCCTTGGCAACAAGGCAAACTTTGTACTTAGAGATGGAACCATCGAGGTTGCACTTTATTCGAAACACCCATTTACAACCAACAACATTCTAAGAGAAAGAGGAAGGAACTAGTTCCCATGTACCATTTCGAATTAAGTGCAGTAAGTTCATCAGACATGGACTACTACCATTCAACATGTTCTATTGCTTGTGTAGCACATGTGGGTTCAATAAAGTTAAGTAAAGGATGGGTTGTACCAACTTGGTATAGACGTTTGGTTTGAAGATATTATCTTTTGAGCGAGTAGTCATGGCATGAGAGGGGGGATTGGAAGGTAAGAGAAACTCTGGTCGAGAAAAAGTTGGAGCAGTTTGGTGAGTAGATGCAAAGGGAGAGACACACATAGGAGATGTAGTGGAAGAAGATGGTAAAGAGGATGAGTCACACACAGTATGACCTGACGTCACAGAAAGAGAGGGCGATGATGTTGTAGATGGTCTAGGCAGCGCGTGCAATAGAGCAACTGTGGGATCTTGAATTGGTGGTTGTGACTCGGCAACATACATGGACGTAGAACCAGGAGAATATATAAGAGGAGAAATATTGACTTGAGAAAAAAATAAGAGAAGACAAAATCCAATCGTTGTAAGAAATTGAAAAATTAATGGATAATTTTGTGAAAGGAAAATCTGTTTCAACATATCGAACATGACGAGAAGTATAAATTTTGTTAGATTTAATATCTACACAAAAATAGGCACTTTGATTAAGAGAATAACGAAGAAACAGACATGGAGAAAACTTTGGTTCTAGTTTATGAGAGGTGTAAGGTTTTAGCTAAGGAAACAAAGACAACCAAAAACTTTAAGTTTATTATAATTCGGTTTCCGATTAAAAAGTTTTCATAAGGAGAGGAAAAATTGAGTATTGGTGTAGGTAAGCAATTTATTAAATAAACAATAGTTTGAAAAGCATAAGACCAGTATTTTAGATGAATTTTTGCTTGCTGAAGAAGAGTGAGCCTAGTGTCAACAATGTGTTTATGTCGCCTTTCGGCAGTGTCATTGCGCTAAGGTGTCTGGGGAGGTGTTTTGAGATGTTGAATACACATAGTGCTTAAAAAATCTTTAAGTGCAACGTATTCACCACTACCATCTGAATAAACTGAGACTATAGAGCGATTAAAAAAAATTTCAACAACTCCCTTGTAGTAACGAAAATTAGTAAACACATCTGATTTTAAGCGTAAAGGATAAAGCCAAACATATTTGGTAAAATGATCAACAAAAATTATGTAATAATAAAATCCATCAATAGATTGAACCAAAGATGGCCCCCAAAAATCAGTATAAACCAAATCAAGAGGTGCACGACTTTCTAAATTAGAGTGACTAAACGGAAGACGTTGGCTTTTATTAAATAAACAAGAATCACATTGAAAATCTGAAGAAATAGTAGACGAAAGTGACACTAAACTAGATTTGACAAGAGACCTAAGTGTTTTATAAGAAGTATGTCCTAGCCGCCCATGCCACACAACCGGAGAAGCTTTATCAATCATACTGGTAGAGAGAGCCATGAATGAGCTTTTATTTACACATTCGGCAGTTGGCCATTCATAAAGATCATGTCGATTCCTTCCGCGAAGTAGAGTAGTCCCGGTGCATAAATCCTTAACAATAAAGTGAGAAAGAAAGAATTCAATAGAAGCTTTATTAGAGCGACAAAACTTAAAGACAGAGATAAGATTTTGTTTAATGGAGGGAACACACAAGACATTAGATAAATGAAAAGAATGAAAGAGAGATAAGGAACCAGCATGTATAATTTTCAAACCTGAACCGTCACCAATGACAATATCATCGGGACCCTTGTAAGGATGATGGAGGGATCAATTGGACACTTGAGACGTGACGTGATGTGAGGCACTAGAATCCATTATCCATGGATTTTGAGCATGATAAGTGGTTTTGATATGATTTGTTGAAGGATGTTGAGAATGTAGGTGAGGAAAAAGCTTGAAACATTTTTTGGCATCGTGGCCACGCTGGCCATAGAATTAATAGACAACTGGGTTGTAGTGGGAAGCATTTGGGAAATGAGCATTAAACTTGGAAGATTTGTGTGTGGAGGAAGGATTTGGTAGAAGGCTAAGGGAAGGAAAGGGAAAAACAGATTGAGATGAACGAGAGAGAGGGTGAGAGGTTTTTGATAGATTTGCAGTAGGTGAGGCGGGATTAGGATTTGCGTCATTGTGAAGGAGGAAAGTTTCATGACCGGTCATCTTATCAAACAATTCTTCAAAAGGTACCACAGAATCTCTAGTCTGCAAAGCTGTAACAAGTTCATTGTAGGCTGGTCTAAGACCACGAGTGGTGTAAAAGAGAGATCAGCATCACTTTGGGGAACGTCAAGAGTAGTCAGTTCATTTGTAGTTCTCTTGATGGATATGAGGAAGTCAATAACAGTAGAAGTTCCATAGGTGATCATAGAGCGTCTGTCCTTCAAGTGAATGATGTGTGTGTTGGACTGCTTAGCATAAAGACGAGATAGACGAGTCCAGGCCTCTTGACTAGATGTTACAGATGAGACCAAGGGAATTGCACTCACTTAAGGATACAAGAATAACATGAAGAATGAGATGATCTTGACGGCACCATAGGAGATAATCTGGATTGGAAACAGATTGGCCATTTTGTCAATTGTTAGTAAGAGGCATACGAGCGTACCATCAAGATAATCAAGAAGACCCAAACTAAAAAACAAGGCATTGAATTGAGCCTTCCAAGAGAAATAATTGAGATATGTGAACTTTAGAGCTAACTGAGCAGCAACATTGATGGTAATTAAATTCTGTGTAGGATTAGGAAGAACAACAACAACAGGTTTAGGATTGCTATCAGAGGTATCAGTGGCCATTTATGAAGAGAGAGAAAAAAAACTTGGAACATGGGTAGGATCAATCTCGTAAGAGGAAAAGCTCTGATACCATAATAAACTAGATGAATTGAATGATTTTCATTAGATAAAATTGATATTTACATGCATGTATAGGTTTGTTTACCGGTATTACAAGGAAAGGATAACTGTGGTTTTCAAAATTCGAAGCAAAACATTTAAAACAGAGAATTAGTTATAGCGAATCAAGAAATATTGTTGGAGCTGATTTCGTTTCTGCATATGGTGGAGAGATTATTGGGTTGATTGAAGTTGATGGAGAGACTATTGGGTTGACCGAAGCTGGTGGAGAAGATAATGCCATGCTTAAGGGTGACACCGAGTGTTCACTAATAGGGAGCACCCCTGCAGCCATCCTCCAAAGAAACATCTTGAGTTGTTCATGGATGTGAAGCTTCTAAATACGCTACCACGCCTCATTTGAATGTTGCGAAGGAACTGTACGAGTAAACCAATAGGCGTTTTTCACAGAAAAAGCCTCATTCATAGCCTTTCTCCACACCAAAGAGTCATTTGTAGGGGCTATGAGAGGGGAAATTTTCAGAATGGCCTCTTTAGATTGGCCATCAAAAAGGTCATCAGCAACAGAACATTCCAGGACCACGACCCCGACAACAAAAGCTCATTAACACGGTGGTAGTCTAAAGGGAGAAACGCAACAGAGGAAGGGCTTGGATTGAAAGCTTCTCTAGGAAGGCCTGATTCCAAGGAAGGAATCCAAGGTCTTGACCAAATTTCAATAGATGAGAGCCATCACCAACCAAATAAAAGCCACCTTTCACTACCAAATTTTTCACGTCGAGGATCCCATGCCCAACAAAAGAGTCTGATCCCTTTGCCTCAACATCCCACAAGGAGACCTCTTTTAGATACTTCTGCTTAAGTATGTCATTACACACACCGGACTTTCCAAAAAGCAAATTCCACGCTAGTTTGGAAAGGAGGGCTAGATTAAAGTCACTAAACTTCTGAAACCCGAGTCCTCTCAACGCTTTTGGTTTACACGGCAAATTCCAATCCTTCCACACAAAATAACGCCCTTTGTCTTGGCCTCTCGTCCACCAGAATCATCGCCGAGTTAGCTTGTCTAAATCATCACAGATGATTTGTGGAACTCAGTAGGTAGACATAGTATAAATTGGAACATTTTGGACAACAACTTTAATCATCGTCACCTTCCCACTCCAAGATAGCAATCGGGCCTTCCATCCCTCAAGCCGGCAGCAAACCTTATCTCATAGGAACGTGAAATTGGCCCCACGGTTCCTAGATAGAAATAAAAGATTACCCAAATAGACTTCATCACCACGCAACACATGAAAACTGGTGGCTGCAAGAATACTTCGCCTAATCTCGTGAGGGTTTAGGGAGAAGGGAATTCCTGACTTCTCACACGTTGACCCAACCAAGCTTCATACTCCGCAACACATCTCATCAAAGCTTCAACTTCATTCAAGCTACCCTTGCAAAATAGAAAAGTGTCATCCGCAAACATAAGATGGTTAATAGGGATGGCTGAAGAGGCAATTCGGACTCCGTAGATGTGACCAGGCACTTGCTCCCTATCAATAAGTTTTGAGTGCACTTCCAAGCATAGAATGAACTGATAAGGCAATAGCGGATCTACCTGACGCAAACCCCTAACTGACCTAAAATCCGTCAATGGACTCCCATTAAGAAGTACCGAGAAAGAAACTGACCGCACACAAAACATGACCATATCACAAAATTTATCATCAAATTCATTTGCCCTTAAGACACGATAAATGAAGTCCACTCCAACCGATCATATGCCTTGTTTATGTCCATCTTTAAACCAATCAAACCACGTTTTCTCCTCAATCTTTTAATGGTTTGCACCGCTTCTTGGGCAAAAACAGAATTTTCAACTATACATCTTCCCGAAACAAAAGCTGATTAAAAGGACGAAATTAGCTGATCTAAAAGGGGTCACAACCGATTTACCAACAATTTCGCCACTATCATTCAATATTTATTATTTCTTCTTGATAGATACTATAATAATTATCATTATTATATTGTGAAAAAGCATTCATATAATTTTTTGCTCGGAAAAATTATACCATTCATTGATAGATACTATAATTGCCTTCCAACTGTCATTTTGATATTTCAAACACCTCACATGAATGAATCTACCAATTTTATAATGTTATTAACCATTGGAATTCACCACAACAGAACTATCATTAATCATTCTAGACCACGTGGAGTCGTCCGTACAGTTTTTCAAACGTAGAAGAAATGAGAATCTTGTCTGCCGAATTTTTTTACATATATATTTTTTTTAATGTCCACAAAAATAAAAGAAAAAAATATTGAAGGATTTAGAGTGACGTCATCAAGCAAGAAAGTTGAGCGTCATGTGTACGGACATTGACGGGACCAATGAGATCCCACCCCATAGATAAAAAAATCCAACCACTGACCACTGAAGTGGACCACGTGACTAGAATATTTAGCCCTGTGGGTCCCACTCCATTCGCTCTTTTTTTTGTTTTAATAATTTTGCCAGCGAAACAATTACTATATCCAAGGTTACAAGATAAACATTATCTTTTAAAATAATTGTGATAAAATATTAAACGACAAATATTAGATCACAAGTATTTTATCATATACATGAACCCTCTTTTTTTTTTTTTTTTTTTTTGAGAAATGAAAATTATTTTTTCCCTTCTCTTTAGAGTAATGCCGATTTTGTCAAAAAAATAAAAATAAAAATCTTAATATGCCGACAGTGCAAATTGCACTTCAACCTGAGCCGTACACGTGGTCCCCATATTTTTGGGACCACTTCCACACTCTGCGGTTCACTTACAAGTTATAAGGTGCTTTAGCATTAAAAACTTGAACTGCTCGCAGCAAAATGAGAAACGTGTCAAAATCATTTCTGTGGTAGTTAGTTCTTTCTTCCTACGTAGTTTGGGGCCCACTACCAAACCAATAAGAACACGCGATATTCTTTTTTTTTTTCTTCTTTATCAAGAAAAAGAAATAGTAGAGAGACCCCACATAGTCTCATTTAGTTCGTTAATTTAAATTTTTAATTTAAATTAAGATGTAACTTTATGTGAGAATTTTTTATTGTAGTAAAAAAATTAGATGTAACTGTTTCTGAGAGTTTTTTACTATAATAAAACTCGAATTTTAAACTCAAATCGATAAAATGAACGGGTCCAGGTCTCGTTTATTTTACAGATTTAAGTTTTTAATTCTACGTTTTTATAATAAAAAATTCTTAAAAAATGTCACATTTAACTTTTTTTATTACAGTAAAAATTTTTCAAAAAATATTTTATCTCAATTCAAATTAAAATTTTAAATCTGTAAAGTGAATAAGACAATAAAGTATGAAATATCCCACTGAGGGACGAGTCCCAACAATTTCACATGTTCACTCTCAACCTGAGCAATTTCAACTCGCTCGTGACTTGTCATTGCCAAGGATATCCTCCAAATTTCGATAAAATTTAAGATTGTCTCTTTGTAATGTCATTAATCTCATTTTTTATGTACTATAATTATAATTTTTACGATCACACCCTAAATGGTTATTTACGTACTTGTACGATTCAAATAAAGAAGCCATAATAAAAATAGTATAAGAATAAGATATTAAAAAAGAATTCTTTAACATACATCGTCTGATTTAAATCTTATAGTTATGCTCATTTATCACATGGATGGGATGCCCCACAGTAAAAAAAAAAAAATTTCCTTCTAGTTAAGTAAAATGAGTGTTTAAAGGATTTGAGTTATTTGGATGAACTTATCAATATTTTGAAACCAATTTAACTATTAAACTGAGACTCTAATATTTGCCTTTTGATTGGTCGGATACAAGACATTGTTACTTCTTAATTAGCAATGTTTTATATGTAAAATTGACTATATTAATTATGTTGTGGCATACTCACATAGTGTAGTGCTTAGCACACATATCTCTCAAGTTGTTTTTTTTGTTTCTTTTTTTTTCCCCCCTAATTATTAGTGGTCGTTGCCAACCCCAAGTAGGTCATTTGGATTTTTTCCTTTCCTTTCTTTTTTTTTTGGGTAGCTTTTGAAAAGTTATAGATATGCATGGCACTATGGTCGGGTTTCCAATTAAACTCAATTTTATTGAAAGGTTTTTTGCATGCGACAATAATAAGTCTAATAAAGTACATTTTGCTCCTTAAATTTCTTTGTCGAATTCATGAAATGATTGCGTCCTATGTGAATTTAAACTAATACTTAAGCAAATATAATGTGTGTGTGAGCTTTTTTTTTTTTTTTTCCCAACTACTACTGATTACCACTCTTTAACCTTCAACTTTTGCTCAAATTTCCGTTCAAATAAACTCATATAACCTAAAAGTAGTTAATGAGGTTGACATAGTGCCATTCATTTGACTCTCCCACAAAATTTTGTGGCAATAAATAGAGTGTGGAATCATTAAGAAATAAGGATTGCCATTAATGCCGTTTTCAATATGATGATCTTATCTATTTTCTCAACATGCGAAATGGTTGGGGGAAGAAATTGTTTTGACAGAAAAGATCGATAGAGTTTAAACGAACAATTATGTATTATGCTAAAAACGGATTTAAGTAAAGGGGCATGTGAATGAAAATGCATGCATAGATATGGAATATTGATGTTTAAATTTGAAGAGAAATAATGTAAGAGCCTATACGTAGATGATATTGCATAAGCTATATATTATAGGACCACGTACATATTTTTGGTGGAATGACAAATGTAGACGTGTATAAACAAAACCCAATGTTTTTTTTTTTTTTTGTTTTTTTTGGGTGAATAAACAAAACCCAAGTTGTGAGTTGTTGAAAATACCCTAAAATACGGGAGACTTTTGAGAGCATTTTCACGTAAATGCTAATCTACTAATAATTATATTTGTTTTGTGTAGTTCCACCACGTGAAAGAACAGTAAAAGGTGAAAGTAGATCGTATCTTTCTTTTCAAAAAGGAAAGGTATATGTTTCAATATATTTGTTTCTTTTGTGAATGAAGCCTCTCCCAAGGAGCTGACCTCTATAGTTAAAATTGGTTGTCCAAGAAGCATATATATTAATATAATGGTCACAAAGAGGATGAATTTTTTTTTTTATATACACATTTTAGACCTTGTTCTTGGATTCCTTATTGTACCTTTACTTAGGCCTCGTTCGCTTCGCGGATTTAAATTTTTAATTTGAGCTGAGATATGACATTTTCTGAGAGTTTTTAACTGTAACAGAAAAAATTAGATGTGATTTTTTCTGAGAGCTTTTAACTGGATAAACTTAAAACTAAAAACTTAAATTTGTGAAATGAACCGGACATTAATTTTGAAATGTGCATACCTTCATAACTAAACGTGGTAAGACTCAATCCAAGTCAATTCAAGATGCTCTTCCTATTTGGGTCTTTGAATTATAGTATTGTACGTTTTTTATTATCAAACTATCATCATATTGGAAAGAAAAAATATGACAATGTTCAAAATAATGATTTCACTCATAAAAATTTAAATTCAACTTTTTGTTATAATATTTTTCTCACAAAAATTCAAAATTTAATATTTTTATTATAGTATTTTTTTCTCACATAAATTTATTTTTCAACTCAAATTCTCTACCTCAAGTCGTGATGAGAACGGACCCGTAGTTTTAGAGAGTTTTTTCTACTCTTATCAAAAAATTCTCCTAACAGTAATAATGGACGTGTGTGAAGGGACTAATTTTCTTAGAAGAGTGAGAAAATTGATGAATTTATCCTTTAAATGTATTGTTCTAAAATTTTTATTATTTACTCTTGATTAATACCCTTTTAACTAATATAATTTTTTTAACTAAAGCGTATTAATTAAGAATAATAAGTGAAAAATTAAGATCCATACATTTTAAGAGGTATTTGCCTTAGAAGATTTTAAATTTAAGACCATATTTTTTTAATTTCATGTTAGTAGTATTCTAATTGCAAATACCAGGTGGCATAAAAACTAAACAAGCCACAAGTCCTTTTTTGCTAACCAAGCAATTCTGCTTCATTTTAAATTGAATTGGTTCTTTTTCTCTCTTTAAAAAAAAAAAAAAAAAAAAAAAAAAGATGGAAGTACTGAAATTGGGTTTTGGTTTTGGCATTTTGCTATTGGGAGTGTGTGACTGCAAGTCAAATTAACCCTATTACTATCTGTTGGCAGCAGTTTCCATTATGTTAATCGTCCTCAAAGTGGTTAAATTTTCACCTAATTAATGAAATTAACATTTGAAGTGAAACAAATTAAAGAAGGGATGGGGACAAATTAAAAATATTATAAACCATATATATATATATATATATATATATATATATTGAGGAGCATTGGAAGAGAGAAGATTCTTGTATAAAGAGAGAGTACTGTTATCTATACTAATCATTATACTTTAGCTTTTAACACAAAAGATGAGTGGAGTGAAGCATAATATGCTGGTAAAAAAGCCATTGCCGACAAGAATTCCTGTCTTTCCACTAAAAATATGAGTAATGGGAAAGAACCAAGGTGGTAAAATAATACCATACTCGATTCCTTCTACTTATCTAGCTACTACAACTTCACTTCTCTGACCAAGGAAAGTGAAAGTTTACCCACTTGATTTTTCACCTATTTACTGTGGTAGAGAGTTAGGTGGAATAATTGAAAATCCAATATTAAAAAAAAAAAAGAAAAAAAGAAAAGAGAGTTCAAATTTCAAATTGCTTTAAAGGGTTTTGTATAATGAGGATGTAAATGGCATTGGACACGAGTTTTTCTTGAAAATTCAGCCTGTTACAATGAAAAAAGATGCTGCATTGAACTTTTCTATAGCTTTACATGATTGAGAAAACTGCTTTATTTGGAGTTCAAAGGACTACTGACTAGCCACTTTCACCACTTTGTCTTGTATCCCTTCACCGATGTTCAATCCCTCTCTTAAGTCTACTTTTACTCAACTATGTTGCACCCTAGTTGGTGCCCATACACAAAGTTTCCAAAATTATTGGGAAAGAAAGAAACTTGACACCACAATTCTCGAATCGGAAATGTCTTAGGTTTTGTTGTTGTTGTGACACGAAGAAATACGAGTATAAAATGGTATGATTTTGGGGAAAAAAAGAAATACGCAAGACTCAATAAGTATATTCTTTATTGTTACATCTTTTAAATTCGTTTTTACATTAAAATACACGTCACATACTTTATTTTTACGTGTTGCATGTGAAAGCAGTCCTTAAAGCGTTTGCCATGATTTCTTATAACAAGCAATAAAGGGATGTGTGAGCTTCATACAAAAATGTTAACTCCCCATCTTTTTTTTTTTTTTGGTTCCATGTGTCTATCTTGGGAACAATAGGCAACAAGAAAAGAAATTGGAAGAGCAATAAAAAAGAAAGAGAAAAAGCCAAAGGAGGAGGAGAAGACGGCGCAAAATTATAACAATTATATCCACAAGTCAGTTTCTCCTTTTGGTCTAAACGGGGAACATATACACTGATTTTAATGTTGGAAGGAAAGAGAATGGATTGGTCCCTAATTTATATTTACCAAAAGTGAGTCATTACATTTTGTAGAGGTTAAAAACTAAGGTGGTGGGGAAAAGTAGTAAAAATACACTAATTCCACTTGCATTTTGGAAACATTCAAATTACAAGAAGAATGGTTCAAGGGCTTTTGGAACAGGAGAGAGCTAAACTGTTGGATGGTGGTGTTTTCTCAGCTCCAACAAATAATCTGAAACCGGAAAAGAAAATCAGGTCGAATTCGCCATGGGATCGCGATCTTGGCTGTGCTCCGCGGCAACAGTCTTACTAAGCTAAGGATCCTTTCACGACCTTTTTCTCAGCAATGGCTTTTGCATGAATGTTCACGAGTTTTGGAATGTTTAAATGAGAAGTTACCCAAAATGCTGATTTGATGTATAGCCCCTCCTGAAGAGCCCTTCCATGAACACCAAAGCTTGGAAAAGGACTTCCACTTCCTTTCATTGTGGGCTCCACTATTTCTCAGACCAAAAAAAAAAAAAAACAAGAGATATGGATGATGAGATAATTGAAAAAAAAAAAAAAAAAAAAAAGAGGAAACAGTTTCAAAGTGCTCCTCCAGCTAAAAAGCTTGTACTCTTTTGGTCCATAAACGAAGGTTGTTGACCCGCACTGCAAAATCCGGCCTGCCATCCGACCAACAATCGCGAGCAAGCTCCGAGTTTCGCCGAACTTTCAAGTCAAATCCTTCTTTGGATCCTTTAGGGATAAAAAAAAATACCCTTTAATCATTGTCCGACAACTTATAATAACAACCGAGAACCAACCATCTTTCTTAAGGTGGTCTATCCAGTGCAACCGTGTGTTTGTCAAATGCTTCTTCTGCCATCAAAAAAAAGATGAAAATTTTCAAAATGATTTGTCTTCAGCCTCTTCAGTTCGACGCAATATTAGTTTATCCAACATCTAAAACAAACGTGCTTAAGATTGACTTTTATTTTACTATGATTAACTCAAACGATATCCATAAAATGTAGACGATTTCATGCAATAATATTTAGATATAGATGAACATACATGAAGTGAGAAAAAAAACAGAAATTAGACTCTAGGTGAAAAGGGTTCCTGGTAAGGTTCAGATTAGTTGACTTTTTTTTGGCTAAGATATGTGTGTGTATATATATGATAGGCAGCTTCATTGAATCAAATAAAACAAATGTCTAAGCAATGGTAATCAAGATATTAGTAACAATTATAAAGACAATATCATTTTGTTTTAAAACCGAAGAAAAACTTAGAAGCAAAGAAGAAAACAATGGAACCTAAGAACAGGATTGTTTTGATAAAAATTGAACAACTTTAGAGATTTGGTTGGACCGTGAAACAGATTCATAATAGAAAAGCAAAAGTTTCAAGGCATAGTCATTCACCTGCAATACAAGCAAATAAACTCAGAATCCCATTGCTATTAGTACTGTTGTTTATTGTTAGTCAAATAATCAAAAGCTCCATAAGCCACTCTGCTAAAAAAAACTCAACACAAGAGGACGAAAAGAAAAAGGAAAATGAGAGCAACAGATTTTTGATGTTGAAACAAAGGAGACATAAAAACCTTCCCCTTTTATAAAATATTATTTAGTACTTGAGGTACAAAATTTTACAATCCTTCCTGGTCTTCTTCTTCTACTTCTAATTTTATGCACCATCCTCTATCTTCTTCACAAACAAGATTTTTCCTTCTTTTTTCTTTTTTTTTGTTTTTTTCCCTGCAAACCCGAAAAACTCAGAAAATCATGCTAAGGTAAAAAGAGGGGTGGCAGTTGCTCCAAATCCTGAGGCCATGGCAGGTTTGCTTACAAAATTCAATCCCTAATCAGTAAAACTCTATTTCTTTCTCCCACCTTTCTGCCCCCCAAAATCATCTAAAAAGTAAGTAATAATAAACAGGTACAACTTAAGAAAAAATAGTAGGGGAAAGAAAGAATTCAATAAATCCTACATTTTTTTTTCAAGTTCCTACTCAGGAAAAGAACCAAGAAAAGAAAAACAAAAAAAAACAAAAAAAAAAAAAAGAATGTCACACTGAGGATGTATCTACAAGAACCTCATTTAGCACATCATCCTCACCGTTTGCCAATGCCAATAGCTCCGCATCCTTTTCTTCATCGCTCGAGAAATCGCGCCTCTCGAGCTTGGAATGCGCTGCGATGAATATCAACTTCTGAGCCTTGTCCATACCAACCCTGGAATGGCCATGAACAGAAGAAGACACCCACCTCAACAATGACCAATTGCATTTGAACCCACAAGAAGTGGCGTTAAGGAATATGAGCCTAACAGCCACTTTCCCCAATGACTTAAACTCATTAAGGTAAGTTTCCCACACAAGTCTACTACTTTGAGGGTTAGCAATTCTCATCTTCCCGGTAATGGGGTCCCTCTCCTTCATCTGAACCGCCCGGGCGTACACCGGATCAAGCCCTTCGGTTCTCCATTTCATGAGCTCCATCAAAGCAATGTGCGCCTCTTCCCTCGAGACAAGCCTCGTTATGAGCTTGTCAACATCCTTCTCTTGCTCGGTCGTCAAGCATTTGAATGGAGGGAGATACTTGCCACTAGTGTCCCTAATCAAGTAAAGCGGATCGAGTATAAACGCTGCAGCCCAAGCGGGGTGATAATTCTTCTTGAACCGTCTCTCAACAATCTTCTCAACCGGCCCTACTTCACCTATGCGGAACTTTGAACACCATTCCCTCACTTTGCTCCTCAGCTCATCCCACAAAGGCAGGCATTGCCCGACTAGCGGTCTCTCCACCTCAATCTCCCGAGCCATGCCCTTGATCAGCTTCACCAAAGAATGAACAGCCTCAACCTCATTCCAAAACCCCACTTCCCCAATCATCTCAGAAACCTCTCTAGCAATAGGCTCCTCCATGGAAGCCAACTTAAACGACTCATCAAGCAGAACCAACTGAAGCGCCCTCGCCGAGTTCAGCACATCCTCAATCATAACGAAAACCGGTTCGAACCTCATGTTTTGCCCATCATAATACTCGGCCAACGGAACTCTTATTAACCCGGCATAGCCATACTCCTGAATTTGATACTTGTGAAAGCTATTCCTAACCTGGGACTTGTTATTAACAAAAGTCGCGATCTTTAGGCAATTCTGTGTAACAGACTTGAACAAAGGAAGCTCTTTACTAAAGTCCTTTATCAAGCTAGTGAAGCCTTGGAATTGACAAGAGAGATTGACCATCCAGTGGTTTTGGCTCTCCAAGCTCCTCAAAGCCTTGGCCTTAAACCTATCAGCGACAATCCCGACACACTGCTGAACAACGTTGCCGCAAATGCCGGTCACGGTTTCCCATAAAACATCCTCGGCATACTTGGAAGGAACAGAACCGGTGACGAAAACCGCCCTGCGGTACAAGCTAGTCCCGTTGGGGAGATTCACCGTTAAATTCACCAAACTATCTTCGCCAAAGCTATTAATGTTTCTCTTCCATCCATCGGAGGAGACTTGGAAGAACATGGCGTCCCGGATTCTGGCCTCGGACTCGGCCTTGGCCTCCTCGAATTTGGCGTCGAGTCGGGAGGTGGTGAATTCGCGGCGGGAAATCGCCGGGAGGCCGACTTGGTTGAGGAAGGCGCGGAACTTGGGGTGGTCGAGGCTGGAGAAGGAGACGGACCCGCAAGAGTCGTAGACCCAGTCGGCAAGGTAGTCGAGTGCCGATTCGATTTGGGTCTTGGAAAGAGCCGGACCGGGAGAGGTTTTGGGGCTCTTCAGCTTCTTCACGCTGTCCTCCAACATGGCCAGAGGACCCAGATCGTCTTTTCCACCGGAAAGCGTCAAATGGTGGTGGTGGTAGGTCAGTAACGGCCCGGGAATTACGGCAGCGGCGGCGGAGGCGGAGGAAGGGGAGAATGGGTCGACGATGGCGAGGGGGGAGACGACGTTGTAGGTGGAAGTGGAAGTGGCCGCAGCGGCGGCGGCGGCGGAGGAGGAGGAGCGTTTGCGGTGGTTGAAGGTGGCGGCGGCGGAGGAGGAGACGGTGGAGATGGGTTTGGCAACGGAGGAGTTGAAGTTGGAGCAAGTGCCGCGCTTGAGATGCTCGGAGGCGGTGCGGGAAGGGTTGGAGGCGGAGAAAACGGCGTCGCATAAGGAGCAACGGAGCTTCACGGCTTTAGGAAGACCGGTGTCGGTGTTGTGGACGAGTAAAGGCTCCAGGTGAGCCCAGTACCACGCTCCTTTCCCCTTTATCGCCTTCGTACGGACCATTACCAAACCTTCGTAACGCTTCTGCACCGCCTTCGCCGCCGCCTCCTCCGCCGCCGACGTGTCCGCTGCCGCCGCCGTTGCTGTTGTTGTAGTTGTTGTTGTACTAGTGTTAGTGTTAGTGGCCGCCATTGGAGGAGCTTAAATTCTTTTTTTTTATAAAAGAACGACAAAGATGACAACTTTCTTTTTTTCGTTTTCTCCTCCCTGGGTTCTGTTTAGTCGTCGTTTTTTATTTTCACGTCGGCTGAAACGACGGCGTTTCTGTCGCATTGTTTAGCATGCACGACGGTGGCCGGAACTTGAAAATCCGGCGAGTTCCCATTGCCGGAGAACTACAACCGATCTTTCTGAATTTTTTCTCTGTTTTTTTTTTTTTTGTTTGGAGACACTGAGATGATTCAGTTCAGTTCAACTGCTGTGTTGAAAGACGAAGAAGTCTTTAGAGAGAGAGGGATAGAGAAATAGAGGAGAGAGAACGGAACATAGTACAGGAGAGGTTTTGGCAGGAGATAACACGCGCTGACACGCGCCATCATTGTGCGCGTGGGGGAAGAGATCGCCCACGTCGAAGGAAACTGCGACGCTTGAGGTAATAATTCGGAGTCCCACGGACGAGAACAGTTGCTGACATAAATCATCACCCTCTCTTGATTGGAGCGTGACGAACACGTGCCTTTTGATGGATTTCAGAATTTGAAGAAAGCTATAAGCTAGCTAGCTAGCTCCCAAGTCCAACTTCATGTTTGTTTGCTTTATTAATTTCTTTTCCTTTTTTTCTTTTTTTTTTTTCTTCTTTTTGGTGTTGTTGGGGTCTTGTTTGTGGGGTCTTTGTAGGGAAGGGGTTTTTCTTGTCTGCTTCTTTCTTCTTTTTTTTTTCCTCTTTTCCATTTTCTTTAACCCAAATATACATAAAAAATTGATATGCAAATCAAAATGTGAAATTTATTTCTTTTTTGTGTGTATCACAAAAATATGTAATTTGGGTTTCCTTTTTGTGACTTGTTCATATGGTTTTTTTATTCAGAATGTAGACATAAAAGGGCAACCTAGGAATTTAAATGAATTCCAACTAGTTCTAATTGTGGGGTCGGTGTTGACCAGGACAAGCGAGAGAATTGGCCTGAAAAAGTTCACCAACTGCCATATGCAAAATTTATGCAATCAAGGATTGGATTTCTTTTTTTCTTTTTTCTTTTTTATTTTATTACTCCTATTTTTTTTATAATATCCCCGTCCCATGGAAAAGATTTGCATGACCCAATTGGTTCCCGGATTATATATGCTTTTTTTTTGCTCTATTTTTTCTTGGTTAAGAGTGGGAGTTCATTTTAGATTTTTATTTGTTTGCCAACATGAAAAATATTTGAAAGTCATGCTAAACCCCTTATCATGGTCACATCTTGTCACCAATACATAACCATCATAAACAACTTGCATAACTCCTTTATTTATTTAACTTTCATAATGCCCTATTTAGCAAAAAAAAAATGCATAATCCCTAAGATTGTATGTTAAGTAATCTTCTTATGCTCCTTTTTTTCCTGAAAAAAAAGATTTAACGCAGAAAATTTAATACAAAAAAAAATACTCTACTTTTCCTCCTTCACCACCAGTCCATACTTTCAATATTTATTTGTAAGTCCTTGTCAAACAATAATATTTCTCCCAGAATGTGACATCACTGTTCAAGCAAGTTACTATACCATGTTTTTTTTTTTTTTTTAATTGTTCCCTCTTTTTCATTTAGAAACTATCGTCTATTGTTGTTTTCATAGTAGTTTGCCAATTGCCCAACAGCCCAAAAATATAGTAGGAGGGGGCTACAGGGGTGTTCGTGGTCGGTTCAGATGGTTTTTTTTTTTTTTAAATTTATTAATTAAATCAAAAATAATATTTTTTTAGATGGTTTGGGCAGTTTAATATTTTTAACAAAAATTAAATTAAACCAAATCACTCATAAACGGTTTGGACGGTTTAAATTTAAGACTAAAATAATTTTTAATAATTCATAGAAATTATAAGATCGTTAATTAAAAAAAATAAAAATAAGATTCAAGTTTACAATATAACTCAAAATAGCAAATGTCTAAAAATTTACCATTTAAAGTTGTAATACAAACCAACAAAAATATAATATGGTGTATTTTATAAATGTGAAACCTTTATTATGATCAATAAAAATTAAAATAAATATAAAAACATTTTAAAAATTAAAAAAATTATATATGTATATTTTTAGGTAAATTATTGAGCAGTTTTGAGAGTCCAAACCATAAACCAAACCACCCAAAAAAATAAGATTAAAAAATTGACCAAACCACCTAATAATTCAAAGATAATTAACGATTTGGTTTGGTTTTGTATGGATTTGACTGTTTTTATAATTTGGCGGATTTTTTGAACACCCCTTGAGGGCCAAAAAAAAAACAAGAACAAAGTACAAGTTCATTGAGAATTAAGGATCCCTTTAGTTCATGAGTTCAAGTCAATAATTTTGATTTTGAATTCAAATTTTATAAAAGAATCTATTGATGATAACTTTTTTTATTCAATTTTTGTTGTGAGAAAACACTTTAACAAAATCATAATCATAATTTTAAATAAATGAATCAAACAAGTCCTAAGTGAATCATCCTCAAAATAAAAGCACTTGAAAAAAAACACTAAAAGCAACCAAATAAGATATAAAATAATTAAACTATCATAATTAAAACTAATTGAAGTTGTCAATAATATACATGTCATATTAGTCAATTTCTCATCCAGTCAATAACCACATGCCCCAACTGTAATACTTACACACCTTCTGATGTAAGCAAAATACTGAATCCATAAATTTGGATTCCATGCCTTTGGTCATAATTGGTTGTTTTTCATTAAATACTCTAGGTATATGATAATCATTTAATTAACATAGGGGATTTGATTTGGTGTATTCTCTCTCTCTCTCTCTCTCTCTCTCTCTTAGGGAATTTGGTGTATTCTTAATGCCTATATTCTCTTTTAAGTGTTAATTCCTATATTTTGCAAGAAAATAGATACCAAAAGAAAGGTCAAATTCGAATTAATCATAAACATGGGGACATGGCTCATAAATTACTAAATTAGTCATTTTCAGAACTTTTGTTGCTCACTAGAAATTTCATTTTCCATGCAAACTCTTTCTCCAAGGTCTTTGTCCCTAATTCCACTCTCATTTGGATCTCAATTTCTCAGTTCTTTTCGCTTGGCTAATTGAGGTTTTCTGTTAGGTAGTTGGAATTGACTTTGACGGATACTATAAGTATTAATAGAACCTCATATCATATAAACAATAACCACTAGGTTTAAAATAATCAATGTTATAATAATGTACATTTTCCCGTTTCAGCTTGGCTAATGAAAGCCGTATTATATATTTATACAAACTGATTTATATACATGTGTATATGAATATACATTAAAACATGTTAATTTTGGTTATAAAAAAGTATATGTTAATTTTGTTCCTCGCGGTATTTTGCGGGACAAAAATAAAATAAAAGGGAAGCCTTTCCCTTTTTGTAATTTAACACGATACAACCTTTTGTTTTCAATAAAATTGGTTTAATTGGAAAAAAAAAAATTAATCAATAGAAAAAAGAAACTTGTGGAACAAACTAATTAACATTTTTTTTTTGTTTTTTGGAGGGGTGAACGAATTGATTAGTAAAGAACTATTTTATTAAGAAAAGGGAAAATATATTTCAAAGTATAAAAAAATACAATACAATCCATACACATTGTTCCCATCACTGAAAACTTAACATTAATAAATAATCGACTCCATCAATAAATTTGAATAAAGTTTAAGGAAAAATAGTATGTTCCGAACCCCAAAACAGAAAAACGTCCAAAAAGATACATTAAAATTTGACCATACATGTGGCTATTTAATAGATCTTCTATAGTGGACGAAAAATCCAACCAATTGATGTGAAAAAATCCATAGCACAAATTCTATACAAAACAACAGATCCTATGGATGAAAAAGATAACCAAACGGAAAATAGACAAGACAATAACTCAAATCAATTGGGAGAAGAACCAATGCTATTACGAACTAAAGATGAGAAAAAAATTTATGTCATAAATCAAGACAAAAAAAAAAGAGAGACCCTTAAAAAAACGACTATATATACATCATAGATATATATATATATATATATATATATTTGGTGAGGACACAGATGAAATTATTTGTTTATTATTATTATCATTATATATTTTATATTTTTGGTGACACAAATGAAAAACACCTTGTTAAATGATAAGTAGGTTATTCAACCCTAGGCTACCTTTCTTTTCCTCGGAGAAAAGAGGCAGATGCCACACATATATAAGTATAGATATTAAAAAAAAATACATTACCGTTGAAATATGGTAATAACTAATAATACTAACGTAGGAATTTTTTTAATCAGAAAAGCACCTGTCACTTTTATTGCATATATTGGACACATAATACTTTTTAAAAAAACAAAAACAGTAATAATCATAATAATTATATGACACGAACTTATATCACAAACTTATGATGATACATAACTTATTGTTGAGTCACAAAGTTTTTTTTTTTTTTTTTTAATAATTTGTTGAGTCACAAAGTTGTTTTAAGTTTATCTTCTTTCCCTTTTCTTAAATATATTTTTTTTTTCTTGTCCTCATGATAATTATGATTGCTATGAATTTTTACAACAAAAAGTAATCTCTCCTATTTCCTGAATCCTCCTTTTTCTACTTTTTGAATTACATTCATCATGTATTTGGCTCTCCATTTTATTACTAGAAGATCATGTATGGGCATAACGAGCACAAACCTCCCAAACTATTCCTTGCATGCACTAAACCCTAAACCTTTTAGTTTTACTATTATGGTAACGTATGAAAGCATTTTAGGGTTCATTTTTATGGCGTTTCTCATATCACATTAAAAATTATATAAAATTAAGAAAAAGTATAATAATTTGACGAAACTTTAATTCAATACACATGTTATATTTATATGTTATGTATACTTTTTTAATCTCATGTGATTTTGACCAACTCTAACAGTTAGAAACTAACACTATCGATAATAAGGCTCATCGGAAAAAGTCCCTTCTCCTTAAAGCTCTTTTTTTCCCTTCATTTTCTTTTTTTTTTTTTAATTTGGGCAATGAGTTAAAGCTACTAGTTTTGTAATTGTTTGTCCAACTAAATCTCAAACTTTGTTAAAACCACTTCGACGTGTTTGTCAGCAACGATACCTGGACTTTATTTCTCGATAAGATACTGCTACCAGCTTCTAAATGAAATTGAACACAAATTAAAATCTTCTATTTCTCCATTATTTTCATAATTTATTTCCTTCCATGCTTATTTGGGCCACAAGATGCAGCTTCTAATTGCAGTCTTTTAAAGCCAAAATAAATAAATAAAGGACAACATAAAATAAAGAGTCGTATACTCGTATTACATATATTATAAGTTATAATTAGGCGATAAAAATTCGTTCTCTATTTGAGATGGAATTATTATATCTTTAACAATTAGCAATTTTGCTACATAATCATTTTTAATTTTTATCACATATATGACAACCTTATATACACCCCTTTTCCAGCTTTATATGGTTGAAACTTCTTCTCTCTTTCTTGTTTAATTATTTATAGAAGAATACACAACCACAATATTTTTCTTTTCCTGATTGTACTGAATAAGTATATTTATGTCATGCAGCTTGGCTTTAAATTATTGAAGCTTGAATTGTGGTAAAGGGGAGCTTTCTGTTAGTTTTTTTTTTTTTTTTTTTTTTTTTTTTTTTTGGAAAAAGCTTTTTTTTTTGGTAGAAAGCTTTCTATTTGTTGAGATATATACAAAGTTGATATGGGAGGGGTGTGGAAAATCATGACCAAAAATGAGAAGCAGAAGAAAAGCTAAAATAATAATGAAAGTAAGGAGAATTTTATATAGACTGTCAGATTTTCCTTAAAATTTTGTTAAATTTACATATATTTTATGTTTCAACAATATGAATTCTAATGTGGATATAAAAACCCTAATATATGAGTTCCTTTTATTCATTTGGATGCCTATGATTAGCAAAAGGATGCGAGCCACGTGTAGGGCATGGATTGAGAAGCTGAGAGGGCCCCACAAATGATGCCCCCATAAAAGAAAGCCTTAAAGTCCATGAAATTATGAGAAAGCTCATTTGCAATTTCCCCTCCTTTTAAAAAGTTGAGGGGAGGAAAAATAAAAAAGAAGGGGGAAATTTAGAGCAATATTGCAGTTCTAAAACATTGAAAGCTGAAACTTGTTTTTGCAATTACAAACAGCTGGCGAGATCAACGACATGATTATTGGGCCCACCATACACGCATAGTAAGAATTGTACTACCATGTGTGTGTGTGTGTATATATCTATATGTAAGCATCACACGCTCTCATAAAATACATGAATTCACACACTATTGCATAAGAGTATCTGATTGGATTTTTCTTCGTCTTTTTATTTTTAATTGTAATTTTTTTTTTTTGGTTTTTGCTTGTGTACTGTGTGATTGATACTGATAATGATGATTGTTGGTATTGGGGATGGCATAATTTGTGTCCCCTTAAAGAGGACGAGAAACATGAGCCTAATTCCCTACTAGAGAGGTCCAATGGTGCAGGGAATTATCTATATGTTCTCTTTTGTAAAAAATAATACACGGTTAATTTATTTAATAGAAAATTTGAACATAAATTCAAATTTTATGTTAGAGAAAATACTTTAATAATAAAATTTAAATAGTGTCTATTGGATTAAGCTGAATTCTACATTAATTAAATTGGCCAAGAACGGTGTATGGAATAGTTATTCGCTTACAGGTGACTTGAAAATGAAAAATATTGAGGTCTCGTTCGTTTCGCTGATTCGAGTTTAGAATTTGAGTTGAGATGTAATTGTATGTGAGAGCTTTTTATTGTAGTAAAAAAATTAAATGTGATTGTTTGTGAGAACTTTTTACTGTAACAAAACTCAAATTCTAAACTCGAATTAGCGAAACGAACGAGGCCTGAGTATATTTAGAACTCGTTCTAAAATAATTTTATTTTCTGTATGAAAATGAAAATGAAAATGAAAATAAAAATAGTTTCATTTTTAAGTAAAAATTATTTTTAAAAATGCGTTTGATAGTTATTTTTCAGAAATTATTTTCAATTTTAAAAAATTGAAACTGTGTGTTTGATAGTGTCGGCAAATCAGAACAAAGTTCAGCAAAATGTTCTTGTGATCCGATTCATCTAAATTGAGGAGGAAAAATAAAAGAAAAAGGAAGAAACCCAAATAAACAAACCCAGCCCCTTAGATAGAAAAAAAAAAAAAAGAAAAAAAAAAAGAAGAAATGAAAAGGAAAAGAAAGAACCCAGCCCCTAAGATCACCAAAGCCATATCCTCATCAAACCCAGGTAAAGTTATAGTAAAAAAAAAATCACAAAATATATATAGAAACTTAAAGAATAACCTTTAAAAAATTTCAACTTCAAATTTGAGTGAATGAAAAAGAAAACTCATAAAGTTTTGAGTCTGAAAATCCAAACTGCCCACGTCGCTTCCTAACTCATGAGTACGCTTCTTCTTCCTCACTTTCTTCCCTTCCTAATCTGCGAACGTTTGGATCATCACCGGCACATAGACTTGCTATGAGGACCCCACACTACATCCCAGCCCTCTAAAAATCGCCGAAGAAAAGTTGTTGTTCTTCTTCTTGACGTTGTTCATGGCCATTGCGGTTTCATTGCCGTTGTTGTTGGAGAGAAAAAAAAATGGGAGTTTGAGGGAGTGAAGAGTGAAGAGAACGGCGAGAGGGAGAGAACAGAACGGCGAAGAGGGAGAGAAGAGAACGACAAGATAACAGCAAGAGGGAGAGAAGAGAATGGCACAGCGGGAGAGAAGAACGGCGAGAGGTAGAGGAGAACGGCCGGAGAAAATGAAAAGGGAAAAAATGAAAACAGATTTAATCCGTTTTCAAAAAAGCATGAGTTTTTGGGAATAATACAAAAACGTTTTTGTTTTTTTATTTTGGTACTATGCTTTCCCAAATGCGGTTTCATGTCTAGTTTCAATTTTTTTTTCTTAAAAAACGTGAAAAAGTTTTCAAAACCGAAAACAAACGCGCCCATTATTTTTTAGTTTAGCATATTCTCAAGGGAGATTTATGAAGACCACAAAGTTTTATAATTTTTTTTTTTTTTTGGAAAAAATATCATTATCTATTTTATCCTTTAAAAAAAAAGAAGAATATTACTTTTAGGATATTTAAAATGCCTGCGTTACCCCGGTTTACTATTGGTAACCGCTGGTTTGCTTTTGGCATATGAGTAGATAATTTTTGATACATTAATCGTATACCCCGGTAGTTTCTGATACACGGATTGTCTAACCACTTTTCGCAAATCAATTTCTCAGCACCAAAGTCTCGAAGGGTGGCCTTGCTCTTTGCCCATAAGTGGATAACCAAGCAGCATGCTAGTTTGTCATGTCATCGACTGTAGCCAGTCAAGTTACCGGAGGTAGTCTATCATATTGCTGGTAATATCATACTGTGATAGTGGCGATAACTTTGTTGGAATAACAAAATACAAACGCGTAACAAGGCCAAAACAGAGAGAGAGAGAGAGAGAGAGAGAGACATGTAGGTTAGCTCCTCGCAATGCCAGGATACGCTCGTTGCCTTGTACATTCATCGTCAATGTTGTTGATGTTCCGAAAAGAGAGAGAGATAATATTTTCACAAGAAAAAATCACAAGGATAGAGTTATATGCAAAGTTGATTATTATATTGAAAATTTGAAATACAATGGCAAGAATCAAAATCAACTACTTTCTTTAAGTGTCATTTCTTGTAATTTCCCTCTTTCCTGAGCCCGTTTGATTTGAGGATTCGTTTTCTGATTCGAATTATGGTTCATGATTTGCTACAGTATTTTCTCTCATAAAAAATACACGTAAATTAAAAATGATTCTAATCTCATAGTTCTAATCCATGAACCAAACGAGCTTAAGTGAAAGAGTGCCATTTCAACATCTTTCTTTTAACTCTAAGACTCATTCATTTTATAATTAGAATTATAACTCAAAACATTTTATTACAATATATTTTTTAAAAAAAAATTCAAATTTAATTTTTTTGATACAATGTTTTCTCACATAAATTTACATTTCAATCTGAGTTCTGAATCGCAAAATAAATGAGTCATAAGTTAACCTTTTAAAAAAAAAAATACAAATATATTTTAGAATGTATATGTCTTGAATTTTTACTCTTATACTTAATTAATACTCTTTAATTAAAAAAAGTATTAAAAATAAGTTCACTAATTTTCTTTTTAGGGTGTTTGTGTTGTGTGAGAAAAAATAAAAAAATTAAACAAAATACCTCTGTTGTCACGTGTCAAGCTGAGAGAATGCCACGTACATCCGTTCAAAACCACAAGTTACTGTCTTCAGTTCCCTCTCTTTTTCCTCCGTCTCTTCCAACTTCTCCTCTCTCTCTCTCTCTCTCTCCCTTAAAATACGCACCCCTGGCTCACATTATCCGTTCCTACCCGGCGCATGTTAGCAAGCACCTGCCATTTCGGTCATCTATTACCATGACCATGACCTCCTCCGTTCAACCGGGTCGAGTAAGGGTCCTCAAGGAAGGTCGTAGACCGTCAGATGGGAAGGCTGCGGGTCCCGTCGTTTACTGGATGTTCAGAGATCAACGGTCGAGGGACAACTGGGCGCTGATCCACGCCGTTGATCAGGCCAACAAGGCCAACGTCCCCGTCGCCGTTGCTTTCAATCTCTTCGACCAGTTTAAGGGCGCCAAAGCTCGGCATCTCGGGTTTATGCTCAGGGCTTTGCAAAAATTGTGTCTTTCTCTTCAACAGACTCTTCAAATTCCATTCTTTTTGTTCCGGGTATGTTCAAGATCATATTTTTTAATGCCCATTTGGTGGTTTTTTTTTTCCACCTGAATTTAAACGTGAAAGTTATGCTAAATCATGGGTTCTGTTTTTTTTTTAAGCAAATTTTAATACCAAGTAACAGTAATGGTTTTGTTCTGTTATAATTGGGGTGATAAACACTTGCGGAAGTTGCTCATGTATTGTAGTCAACAACATATATTGAAAATTGGTGGTCAAAACTTGATAAACGAGTTGGTTTCCCTAGCATTTTGTGAATGTTTGTCAAATTTTAGCACAAACCGATGTGATAATGGCTTTGTTAGATAACATTTAAGTTACTTGTTCATGTCTGTATTTTAACCAATTAACAATAGGTGGTCAAAACATGGTAAACAAGTTTGTGCTTGTAGCGTTATGCGACGTTTACAATCTGGAATGCTTCTATGGGATAATTTGTAGGGAGAAGCTGAAGATACTATACCGAATTTCTTGAGTGAGTGTGGGGCTTCGCTTCTAGTTACGGACTTTTCTCCACTACGCGAAGTTAGGAAATGTAAGGAGGATATTTGCAAAAGGGTTGGTGATTCTGTGAGTGTTCATGAAGTTGATGCTCATAATGTGGTACCTGCTTGGTTGGCATCCGAGAAATTGGAATATAGTGCTAAGACCATCAGGAGTAAGATAAACAAGAGGCTTCCCGAATACCTCATTGATTTTCCTACCCTTGAGCCGCCTGTTAGGAAATGGGATTCCACAAATCATGTGATTGTCTGGGACGAAATCATTGCCGAGGCTTTGAGGTTAGATGCCAAATTTAGTTTTGATATGTTGGATTTTTTTTGAAATTGTGCTCTTGACGTTGTTGTCTCTAATTAGGAAAGGGGCAGAAGTTCCTGAAATTGCATGGTGTGAACCCGGTGAGAAGGCAGCAATGGAGGTTTTGATGGGTAGTAAGAATGGATTCTTGACGAAGAGGTTGAAGAATTATTCGACAGACAGGAATAATCCCTTGAAACCTAGTGCGCTTTCTGGCCTTTCTCCCTATTTGCATTTTGGACAAATATCTGCACAGAGGTGCGCCTTAGAGGCTCGTGCTGTTCGCAAGCTTAGTCCTCAGGTTAGTGATGTCAAATTCTTGGAACATTATTGGCTGCAGAAAGCTTGCTTAATCATGGTTATATTGCTTTTCATTTGGTGCTTTATTGCATCTGGTACTTAAGTTAATCTGTGTTTCTCTCCATCTACTTGATATTCAAGGCAGTGGACACATTTTTGGAGGAGTTGATCGTCCGCAGAGAACTTGCTGATAACTTCTGCTATTACCAGCCACATTATGATTCACTTAAAGGAGCATGGGAATGGGCACGCAAGACTTTGATGGACCATGCTTCTGATAAGCGAGAACATCTTTATACGTGAGCAATCTTTTGTTTCTACTGCTGATATCTGTTCGAGAACTCATTGTTTCGAAGTCTTTAATAACAATTCAATTTGCAGGAGAGAGCAACTGGAGAAGGCACAAACATCTGATCCTGTAAGTTAACTTGTTCTTTATAGTTCTATTTTGAATGATAAGTTTTTTCTTGCAGCTTAACTTTACTAACTTCCCCTCTTCTTGTTTCGACTCTTAAATTTATAAAGATCCGCTAATTCTCATCATGGTAATTATACATTCTCTTGCCCATTCTTTCAATAACATACTCCTATGTTATTACTATTCAGCTCTGGAATGCTTCTCAATTAGAGATGGTGCACCACGGAAAGATGCATGGATTTATGCGGCAAGTAAACCTTTGATGTATTTGTCTATTTTTCATAGTTTGACGCCTTAGTACTGTGATTTTGACACAGCATTTCATTTTTGCAGCAAGAGTTAACAATAGTATTTGCTTGTTTTTCCATACGTGCACTTTTATTTCTTCCAATTTAACGGACAATGTTGCATTTTTGTGCAGGATGTATTGGGCAAAGAAGATTCTTGAGTGGACAAGAAGACCTGAAGAAGCTCTTGAGATATCTATATATTTAAATGACAAGGTAATTCAACTACTACCATGTAATGGTTCTTGGTGTTAGATTTCAATTGTTGTTAAGAATTGAGCAATTGTTAGAGAATGCTCAAGGTCACACTAAAATGAAAGCTAAGAAAGAACAGTTCAATTGGAAGGCTAATGAAAGATTATCATGAACTCTTACGTCAACTCTTTCTTTGCAGTATGAAATAGATGGAAGGGATCCAAATGGGTACGTGGGTTGCATGTGGTCAATCTGTGGTGTTCATGACCAGGTTTGTTTCCATTATATTCTTGATTTCTTGTTCAACTTTCTATTTTGGAGGAGCAAAGTTGGGGAAATTTTAAAATATTCCCCTTGTTTTGTCTTAATTGGGTGAGTTGTTCTCATATTTGTCAAGAAATTTCTCAAGAAGATATAACCATTACGTGTTTTATAGGTGGTTGTAGACCACATTACTATCAGTTTTAATGGACTCAACATGAAGAACTAGATGTTTTCTCATTTCCTTTTACGTGGTTATGACTTCTTTAGTTAAGCAGACATGAAATAGGACCAATTCATTTCTCAGCATCAAATTCCTCTCTCTAATATATATATATTTTTTTCCTGGCAAATTCAGGGTTGGCGGGAACGACCAGTGTTCGGGAAGATACGTTACATGAATTTTGCAGGGTGCAAAAGGAAATTTGATGTTGATGGTTACATTGCCTACGTCAAGAGGCTTGTGGGCGAAATCAAGAAGAGAAAACCAGAGAATCAGCTCAATGGAAAGGCTAAGGAACTCCGTAGTTAGCAGCTTCAGCTTCTAACTGACTTAACTATAAAACATTAGTCTTCACTTTATTACCAAAAAAAAAAAAAAGGAGAGAGAAAATATTAATACTTAGCAACCACAGTTTAGCTTATTTGAAAGTTAAGACAAGGGGAAAAAAATGTTTGAAGCTCATGTTTTTATTGATTGAATTGAAGATCTGTGTTTTTTGATGTCTTAGACTAAGTTCATCGTGACTTGAGTTGTGTATGTGAGAATAAAACACTATAGTAAAAAAGTTAAATTTAAATTTATGTGAGAAAAAATATTGTAATAATATAGCTTGCGTCATGAAATGAATAAGATTTTACTTTTCTCATTTAATGTTTTTTATTGTTTGTCTTCAATATATTGCAGCGGGTGTGTACAGATTGCAGAGCCTAAAGAAGAATTATTTATATCATGTGCAAGTACTTAACTGCTAACAAGTAACAAGATACTCCGTTCATTTTATTGAGTTTTGTTACAGTAAAAAATTTTCAAAAACAGTCATATTTAACTTTTTTGTTATAATAAAAAATTTTCACATACAATCACATCTCAATTTAAATTAAAAACTCAAATCAGTAAACTAAATAGACTTATAATAAATTAAGAAATTAAAAATTCTAACGGGACAAATGACACGTAATACCATCATGTAAAACATCACATCACTTGATTTGATACTTATTAAAAGTGTCGGTGATTGATAGAGGTGATGAAACATGCTTCTTCTTTTTCTTCAAAAAAAAAAAAAAAAAAGAAAAGAAAAAATGACCATGCTTAAGAAGTTGCTATCAGTTCCAGTAAAGAATATGAAAGCATGAATAAAAAAGGTGCAGCTGTGACTCTTCTTGGATTCAATCAAAATCACATCGTAATGAACTCTGCAAAACTAACAGAATGCGATAAAGATATAACAGTTTCAAACAGTCGGTTAGGAATATTTTCCTACAATCAGGGGAATTTAATTGCTATCAGACAGCAAAGTTTATCCGTTGGACAAAATTCGGACTTCACCAAGGACAAATAGAAAAAGTAAAATACAGTAGAAACCACCAGGTTATTATAAATGGTCTTTTGAATCAGTGAAAGTCAACATTATACACACTTTCGATGGTTATACACACCCACCAATTTGGCGCATGTCAATATAATACAGAGCCCAGGAAACTCAGACGGCCAGGATGCTCATTTAGAATTACACCAGTGACAGAATCTTTGAGCAAAAATTCCGAGTTTTGCGCTAAATAAATTTAATGTAATGAACTGATATGTTTCTATGATTACAAATTGGACTAGACAACAGAGAGTACTCTTTCGAGTCTTTCAAAGCCGGTCATCTTCAAATTTGTAGATCATCTAATGAGAGTTCATTTGCCGTTAGCAACTTAAGTTTCTGCAGATTAAAACAAATAAAGACTTTAAGTTGTAAGGAGATATTGAATTAAGGATATTGGGGCCTGATGGAAGTTAAAGATCAATAGAAATTACCGTTATAAATTGTGGAGGGTCATCAAGGCTTGAGGAGCCTAGAATAATTTCCCTCTTCAGTTTATTTGTAAGCTTGTGGCAAACCCTAAGCTGAAAATGAACAAGACCATGAGTCAAGATCCATAGACAAGAAAAAAGAAAGCACCAAAACATTGTTGACAAATGAATCAGAAAACTCTCTTACCTCTGATCTAGTAGCTCCACCAACTATAAATACAAAAATTCGTTGCCCCATCTTCTTGAAATCACTTGATGCATGTCTTAGTACTGAATCACTATATTCGGCAAACAAAAAGATAAATATTGAGTGGCTACCAAAAAAAAAAAAGATCGATAAGTCGAAATAATCAATTCAGAGAAACAGATGAACCTAAAAAAGCACTACACAAGAACTGCACCTTGAATACCCATCATCAGAGTTCCTCGGCCGAGCCCACGTTGGTGTTCGTTTTGATCTCATTGAATGAGCAACTGGGGGTTGATATGACGAGGGGCCATGGGATGTCCCATGGAAAGTTGGACTTGGGTCATTTAAGCAATGATAATCTTCTTTTGACAGTTCACCTTTGTTGAGTTTTTCGATTAGCTCCTGAAAGAGGAGAAAAATTTAAATGAAGTAATCGCTTCATTAGTAAGAACGGGAAAAAGTTTACATGTTTATTATGAAAGTACCTCTATTATGGGATAAAAACGTGAAAGCTGCCATGTTTCTTCTTCACCAGTGCGGTCTTTACGAACCGATCGTTTCTTCTGAAAATTACTAATTTTTGTTAGATGTTAAAACTTGAACTTCAGCAACCAGAAAAAGTATTCAACTACAAAGGCATCAACCTTATGCATATCAAACTTCAGAGAGAAGGGACTCATTGAGCTCTTTTTGGTATCTGATGATCCACCAAGGAGCTTCAAATTATTCACAGCGTTCATATCATCAGCTGGTAATTTTGCCAACTAGAACAAAACAAGATTGCAAAGATCAGCAATAGATAGGACAATTCACCTCATTAGGAAGAAACAAGAAAAATTAGTAAAAACAAACAAACCAACCTTCATCAAATTGGCACCCTTCTCACCCTCGAATTTTTCAGGATAAATGGCAGCAAGAATCATCAACAAGCGCAACTTATTTTCACGAGTTGTGTCCTGCATAAGACCAGTACCAATGTATTTAGTTTACAATACATCTTAACAAGGAATCTGGTGATGAATCCAATATATTTGTAGCTGCTTTTTTTTCGCAGTATATTTGTAGCTTGTACATTGTCTTACATCTTTTGTAGTCAAATATTTGATTACATCTTTCATTCCTGCATCTCCAAAAACGAGATCCTGCTCCAACTGCCCAAGTTCTCTAAGCCCCTGTTCCCTGATAATTCTGTTTATCTTCCCTGCAATCTGGAATAACAAGACAAAACCCAAGTTTATACCATCGTACCCCCCCAAAAACGAAATTAATAAGTAAAGCTAGCTGTTATGATTACATTTTCACTCAAATCCAAGAAAATGATTAACATAACCCAATTAAAAAACTACTTTGGAACTGAATTCATATATAGGAAAACGCTAGATTTCATAAAAATGTATAGGAAGTGATTTACTATTGGATACTGTATGAATGAAACTAACCTCTACATGAAGGGAGAGCTTGTCAATTTGTTCACTATATTGTGGCAATGCTTGAACCATCTTTTGCAAATCCCGAGTAGACAGTTCACCACCATTTCTACAAATCAAGTGATCGTTGACGTAAGAAACATATTAATTTCTGGAACTACAAAACCTACAAAATTGTTTCAGCTCTCAATGTTACACAGAAGTGACAGATTATATTGTTAATTACTACCATTCAGTGACAGCTAAATTAAAGCAAGAACAAGAAAAAAGTTGAGATAAAATCTGAACAATAAAATTCAATAACAAAACAGATTCCAAAACAATATATATATATATATATATATTAGTACATCCCATATGAGGTCATAACATGACAATTTCTCACTAATGAACGTTACCTTGAACCGTGCTGGATTTGTGCAGCCTTATTCTTTGATATGAAGTTGGTCATTTTCTCATGCAATCGTTCACTAGCCTGAGAATACATTGGTGATCATCATTATATGTTTATATGAAAAGTAATCAAGAAAAAACGTGTATAAGAATAGGACATACATCTGCAATATGTGCATGTCGAAGTTCAAGCCAGACAGGATCATGATCTTCTAGAAGAACCTCTTTCTTCTCAGGTGGACCTCCAGTTTTGCTAGGAACCTGAATAATAGTTTTAGTACGTCTAACCAGGATAAAAGTAGATATAATATTTGGTCCCATTTAAGGTTTTGACAATGGAACTCACTTCGTGTACATATTTATTGCCTTCCATATTTAGTAAGTCGTGGCACATAGCATCATATGTCCACTCATGTATGACAGGAGCAATCTGAAAATTCAAAACAAGTATATTCATCAACATATACGGACAAAGGTAACAATAAGCATAATCTATATTTATAACCAACAGATGCACCTAAAAACCTGATCTACAGATCTGTCAAGGATTAGCAACTCGCATGTTTCTGTCTCTGGAAAATTTTTTACTGTTTTCTTATATTTCATAAGACAATCCCACACTCCAGCAGCAAGCTTCGTAGGAATTAAATCATGAAACGTTGTCATCGTGGTTGCATCAAGGGACTTGGCAGCTCGATACCGAACATATGGAAATTCCTGAGTTATCAAAACATAACACGCTTCAGAAAGTTGTCACTTGACCGTCAATCAAAATATGGTTTAAACCGCCATATATGTACCCTCAAAGAAGCAAAAACTGTAGCCAAGCGAGTTGCCATCACATTCAGACATGCAACACCTTTGCGTGTATCCTCCTCATCACCAAACAGTTCCTCTAAGGCCCTCTCATTGTTGGTAATAAAACCCTGTACGAGAAACAGTTAAGGAACAAAGAAAGAACATAAGACATCAACATCAATGGGGAAAAGAGACAGTCCAGTGAATGCAATCAGCAATATGTATAAGAACAAACCTTAGCAATCCATATTCAACCCCTATCCCCTTTGAAATTTCTAAATGTGTTCCGATTCAAAAAATAATAAATTGTTGGCAACAATTAAGTACAGAAACAGAGACACTAAAAGGATATTTCTAGTGCCTTGATTTTTGTTAATATATCATACCAGGGATATTTTGTGTTTATGTTTTCAACAAATAAACTCAGAGGATATAACATGCACAGAAGACAATATGTATAAAATGATTATTTGAATTATACGTAGAATTTTAAACAGTGGACTGAACACAACATCACATACCTGGCTGTCTATAGCAAAATACTCCAGATTCATCTGCACAATTTTGCCCAAATGAGTATCGATGAAGTTCTTAAGGAATACAAACCAAGGAGAATTTTGCTAATTTTATGAAATTCACCTCTACATTTTACCCCAAATAGTAAAAAAAAATTATAGTCCAAAAAAGACGACATTTACCTCTATCAATGCACCTATGCGAGGCAATACTGTTCCATCTTTCTTAATGTGAGCAATAAATTCTTTTGGAACAGGTGAACTGAAAAAAACAAAGGCCCTTCACAAAAACAAAGGATAGAAGTCAAAACTATTGGAATTTGGAATACACGTAATGAGTGCTGGAAGATCCCAATCAGAGGTAATAATTAGAAAAGAACTAAATAATCCTTCACATACTTCCTGTATAAAGGTGCTCTTCCAGACATGTCTGACAGGAACAAGATGATGCTGCAGATAAATACCACAGGACATGAGAGAGAGAGGAAACCTAGTATATAAATATATGCCTAATAGCAAATTGACAATGAATTCAGAGATCTTTTGAAGCAATCGTTGCATTTTCACCACACACAGAACATCCCACCAAATAAAATAAAATAAAATAAAAACCCACAGGACAAAAAATTGAATGAATAATTAAAAAGAAAAGAAAAGAAAATAAACTGGGAATCAAAGATTTTAGTTTCGTAAAAAGGAAAATATACAACATGAAAATCCTACCAAAACCGATAGCATCAAAACGCAGGTCAATTTTGGAATAAATTATGAAACTCAAATTAAAACTCTACTCTGAATGAATGAATATGCATATATATATATAAAGGATGAAGTTGAGATTAATCAAAGAAATAAAACTAAAGCAAAGGAAAACACATTCCTCAACAAGAAGCAACATCCACTGGCATTACTGGCAGTACAAACATCCATATTAAGAAATAAGAAAAAGTACTTTACTTCTCTTTAGTTGGCTGGATGAAGTAGATAGCATCCATAGAGGGTAATGGTTGCCTTCTCTTGTACATATCTTCTACCACTGGCCAAAAAAATAAATAAATTAACTTAAAAAAAAAAAAAACAAACAAACAAAACAAAAGATTGATAGTTACAACTATGAAACCAACAACTTAAAAACTGAAATAAAAAATTCATATTCCTATATTGGTTTTCTTCCCTCATTATCTAACCATTATCTTAATCATCATACAACTGCAGAACTCCTGTTTATTAATTCGCGAAGGAAAAATTAAAAATCATAGTGCAACTTCTCACGGGTAAATCTTTTGTAACTTAAAAGAACGTAAGGGCAAAAGAAAAAGCTAGTCTGTTAGCTCAGCTAGCTGGACCAGTCACTTCAAGCCTTCATCAACGAAGTCATTACTACCCAAATTACCATTCTCATTTAACATAATAACATACACTATATATCGATGAAAACACAGTATGCAATTTTCAGCAACCATAATAAACAAAACTTGAAGGTATTTAAAGCTTAAGTAACTAACAATAGTTGTTTGGTAGTAAAGTAACTAGCATAGTTGACTCTTACATGAAACGCCTTCTTCGGTAACATCAGCCATCTTGCACGAGTAAGACATTATTTTCACAGTGAGTTTGTCCATGATAAGTACCTACAGTAAAATAGAAGGGAGAACTCAATATATAAAACTACATGTTAATGGACAAAATATCAGCAGATTTTTAAGCATTCGGAAGGAAAAACGAAGAAAACCAAGCAGTCTGAAAAAGCATGTTCCATCACTGCTATGCCCTAAAGAGTATTGTAAGTTAACTTTCATGCTTCATGGTCATACTTTGAAGCATCTTGAATAAATGACTAGCTAATATAGAATACAAGTAGATATAATTTATAGCATACAAGCAATGGTTGTCAACAAAGAAAGGAATAGACAGTTGATACAAGGATGCAAACTTTCATTCATATATATATATATATATATATATTAGATGATATTTAACCGGTCCTAAATATTACAAAAAAAAAAAAAAAAAAAAAAGTAGGGGACATAGAACAACCAATTGCAGTTAATTCAAGGACGGAAAATAAAAAGAATGCAGAGACATAGAGATCATTTTTCCCCCCTAAGAATGACAAAAATGAGACATCATAAGAGTTTTCATATCATGAGATAGACTGTCAAATAGAATATTTGCAAAAGTCTGCACAGAAAAAAAGAGGAAGGTAGTAATGTAGAAATTCAAGATCCCTCTTAACAAGAAGAGTAGTGCACAGATATTGATTAAAATCACCAAAAAAAAATTGCTCATACCTTCCAAGTAGTTTTTGAGTCTCCTGTCTTGGCTCGCTGGATCATTTCATGTAACAATCCTGAAGGAAAGCATCAATTTGGATCAATGAGTCAAAAACATGACATCTACCTCAAAGCTACTGGTAACTAGAGAAATAATAACCGGAACAAATTAAATTACATGAACGAGGACAATCATGTGAAGAGGTAAAATAATACTGAAAACAAGCTTGAATAAGCTCGTGATTCCCCCAGCCATGAAGAGGTGAAATAAAACAAGCTTGAATGAGCTCATCAAATTCACTCGGCGCAGTACATGAGAAAAATAGCGTAACATGATCTAATTTTTCTCTTTCCTCAACATATCAAAAAGTTCCCACTCTCGTCCACAACTACGCATGGCAGTTGTGGATACTGTCTTTAACAGAATATATCATTTCTTGTCACAGAGCCCACAAAGGAGTTGTGGATACTGCTGTACGAACATCGGATGCTGGATATCTTACACGCAGACTTGTTGAAGTAGTTCAACACATTATTGTACTCCTATTTTGCGGAAAGAAAAGATTTTTAAAAAAAATCATGTATCCCTGGGAATTACATCCATTAACCAGGTGTGAAAAGCAAATCAGAGGAATCCCTTTTGCAAGCAACATAAAAAATGCAGTCATTTCTAAATTCTATGTCCGTGAATATGTATCACAACGACAGCCTGTAACTTGGCCTACTGAATAAACCGTAAACTTCTTTCCTACAGAAGGACAACAGTGCAGATCTCCACCACTTTATCAGATAATCAGCTGAAAAGTTCAAAAAGAGTAGTCAAAGCAAACTCCTCCTGTCCATTACTTCCTCCACCAACTATGCTTTCAAGTAGGCACACAAAAGAGCTAGTCTTTCTTTCTTTCCTTGATCTTCATTATCGTTACTGCTAAGGTTTTCAGCCCACTTCCCACATTCCTACGGGACACAATAACTGCTTCACATTTTACTAGATAAAATCTAAAATTTTCAAAATACCTCTCCAGTTCTGAATAATCACAATAATCTTCACCTTTACAGCTTTCACTTACTCCCCGTGGACACTTTCTACAAATTATATTCCTTTTTATGCGAAGATATCACAAAAGCACAAGATGCGTCATATAATCAGTCAACTAATTTCCGCGAATACCACAATTAGTATCAATCCAACAGCCATAAAATACAGTTTTATTAAACACTTAAACATTGACAAAATGCCTAAAACATTGAAGCTATTAAGACCGACGCATTTCTACCCAAATTGAAATCAAATTCACTTGTAGTCTCAATGATTAAGTTCACCAAACTTGCTAATCCCGTAAGAGATGATAATCACGAGCAAAATTATTGGAAGCCACTAAATTACTGATTAGCATATTGATTAAAAAAACCTAATTAATTTAATTTGAAATAGAGAGAGAGAGAGAGAGGCAAATGGCACGTACGATCACGACTGATTTGCTTGAAGTTCTTGTAATCGCCGCCATAGGAGGACGAATCGGAATCGGAGAGCGACATAGTCAGAGCTTTTTCCTCTTCGTCTTCTTCTTCTTCTTCCCTTTGCCCGTCCGACCGATCCGAGAGGAAAAGAAATTGGAGAGAGAAAGAGATCGCGCAGTGATCGATGTCGAGTAGAGAGAGAAAGAGACGGAGAAGAAGGAGAAACGCGGGGGTTAAAGTAGAGAGAGAGAGGAAATGGTATTTCCTTCCTTTCCTTTTCCTTCCCCTTGGCCTTCCCTTTGAAGAAGGAAGTTAAATGAATATTTATATATGAATAATTCAGAAAATCGATTTTTAATTTGGAACAATATCAAAAGTTCCCCTCTGTTTTACTTTTATTCGCCATTTACCTTTTATATTTTCAGAACTTAAGAAATGTATCTTGTATTTTGCAAAATGTCGCAAAATAACCCTTTAAGTCAAGTTTAACATACAGATTAAAAAGTGGAGAAATATGAAAAGTAGTATACAGAAATGAAAAAAAAAAATATATATATATATATAAGTAATAATTCTGTTCAATGGATAATAAATTCTCCTTTCCAATGGGTATTTGAAAATAGACGCAAATTGTAATTTGAATTTCTCAAAGTATAAGGGTCGATGTCAATTAAGATAAAAAATGCAGGAAATAATTTAGAATTTCAAAAAATATAAGGGAGCGTTTGGAAGGGGAGGAATGGTAAATAGGAAAATGGCACATCGCGTTTCGTCTGTGAGGAGTGAAAGATAGAAGAGAAAATGGACTAGAAGACCACGGAATTAATCAGATTTGCATGTCTCTAGAGATATTTGAAAATTCTTCTTTCTTTTTTTTTTGCCCATAATTCAGGAGCTTCCATACAAATTTTTTTTTTTTTTCACTCTTTTGGTTTTTTTGGTTTTTTTTTTTTTTATCACGTCCACGTTGTTGAGTCTCCAGCCAATTTTATGAAAAGTTGGTCAACTTTTATTTTTTTTCCGTTTCTTTTTCTTCTTTTCTTTGTGTTGGCGGTTGGCCTATGTTTGTTGGCCACAAAGATAGGGACTAAACGAATCTACGCATTTTCAGATTGTTTTCTCTTTTTCTCTTTTTTTTTTTTTCATTTTTTGAACGGAACAATAAGTTCTTTGCTATTAAGATCATTAATTTGCAATTTATTGGTATTTATTTATCAGTTATATTCCTCAATTTTTTTTTTGAAATCGTTATATCCCTCAATTATGACGTTAAGGTTATTGTATGTTAAAAGTATTGTTAGGCCCCCACTTACAAGCTCGAGCTTTTGAGTTGAATTGACTTAACTGACTGGTATCAGAGCCTAATGTCCCGGGTTCGAATCCCCTTTCCGGGTGTTTCATCCCCTAAAAATCATCACGCGTTGTTTCCTCCACATGAGGGAGAGTGTTAAAAGTATTGTTAGACCCCCACTTATAAGCTCGAGCTTTTAAGTTGGATTGACTTAACTGACATTGTAATATTTAAACTTATAATTTAAATAGTATCAAATATAAATACGGATAATAATGCGGGTATATCTTAAAACCATCCAAGAATAAATAATATACAACTACAAGTCATAAAATTTTGTTAAATCCTTTCCAAAAAAAAAAAATTGTTAAAGATTTATAAGTAAAAACAACATTTCTGTTCTTTCTTTCTTTCTTTTTTCTTTTTAGATAATACAATTTTAGGTTGTCGTTACATGCTTTTCTTTTTTCATTTTTTTTCATTTTTTTTTTCATTTTTCTTTTCCCATTATTGACACATGATTTGATTCTCTATCCTTTGGTACAACTTTCTTATAAAAAAAAAAAAAAAAATTCTTCCTGTGTTGGTGTTATCCAAAACATAACCATCTGAAAACATTTTGCTTGTGGACAAAGTCACCGATGTTCTTGACGTAATGCAGAATTTTTCAAATGCAACAACCACTTGAAACAATTTACACGTCATTGCAATTCTAGAATGTCAACGCACGTAATATATAAACTACATAAAAGAATAGATCAACTTCGACAGCTCGTCTAATTTTGGTCTTCAGTGGAAACAAATGTATTTGGTGAAATAACAAGGAAAATTAAATTGGATGATTTTCTTACAATAGTTTCTAGAGAAATACCAAGCACAAATTTGACGCTTCTCAATTCTCATTAGTCTGACATCAACAGAAAAACATTAGTCAAAGGCGCTGCTATTACAAATTCAAGTCAGCACAAAAAAAGTATAAATATTGCTAGCCGTTAATTGGTTGCACCAAAGAAAAATGCTAGTTATCACCGGTCCTGATAATCACAAGATTTACAACTAGCATTTTATAGTGATCGACAAGTAAAATTTGCGTGGAACTCTACGCCATAAGTAATGAGTTTGACCTTACATGCATTATAGGTTAAAAAAATTATAATTATTGAAAAAAACAGGGAAACAGAGTTGTTTGGTTGGAAGATGCGTACCCCGATTCGAATCATGATTCGTTACAATATTTTTTTCTCATAAAAAATACACGTAAATCAAAAATTATTATAATCTCATGATTTTAATCCATGAACCAAACGTCTCATAAGAGAATGACACATAAAGATGCCAAGTTGGACAAAACTAAACAGATCATTCTAAAACCCGGCCATGTCTCGTCTTGACCGGTTTAAATATTAGGATCACACCGATTGTTTAAACTCAGAATGTATTTAGGACAAGACCCGACTTAATTAGTAGTTTACATTATTAAAAAGTGGTTTTGCGTGGATTATATGGGCTTTCAGGCCGGGCAGCCAGACTTGATTTTTCACCATTCGAGTCGCATACCTCTCTACCACAAAACTATCCCAACGAAATCGGTGCCACATCACAATCTGAGTCATCCATCAATTTAACCAGACACCAAGTTTAGGTTAGGAACTGACAACTCAGTTTCCCCCAGTTTTTAAAACTTATGCTTCCTCGAGCAAAAAGATGATCCATCACAAGGCTACTACTCCTCCGACAGAACTAGTTGCTACCTTGCTTCTCAACTATTCTCCGCTCCATATACTAATCGGAGTAGGCTCAACATAATTGACTATTTTTTGTCGATGTTCCGTCAATTTTCTTCTACATCGATTCGGCAGCGATTCCACTTTGCCTAAACGTACCGGTTACCATCGATCACCTAAGATAGAAGATTACTGGAAATCGACTTATGTACAAGACCAGTAACGATAGACAACACTAATAGTGATTTCAATATTCAAATGAGTCATGGCTGGAGTTTAATTTTTGTTAAAATTGCTTTCTTTTAGATGCATATTATAATTATACAAAAAAAAAAAAAAAAATTGTTTGGAGTACTCATGTACGACATGACGACAAAATGACCAACCCAAGCACGGCCATTTTGCAAGAAGACTCCAAGCCCCAACACACCGTTTCTTTTCTTTTTCCCGTAATAATCCAAGACACCACAGCTAACGATGCTCTATCTCCCCACAACCGAGAAGGAAAATAACAGGCAAAGAGAAAAATCACTTCGTACAAATCCAAGCAAGAAGATCAAATGATTCAAATACCAACTTAACATTTCCGCTCGGCACAATGCTAGCTAGCCACCCAAATCTATCCCAATAAAACAAAAGTACAATATATCTACACACATCTAGTTTAAACAAGCCAACGTTTTTCTATTTTCTAGATTCATAAGAAAGTCCAAAATTCAGTTCTAAACCATTTCCATGAAAATAGAGCTAGAGCAGAACACATGGGATAATGTGCCGGCATTACTCATCCATACTGCAAAGAGAAGAGGCCACCAATAAAAATTTTCCATTCTCATTTTTAAAAGAAGATACCCTCTTAAGTCCCAAATGACTCGAATCCAAGAGATACAAAAAAAAAAAAAAAAAAAAAAAAAAAAAAAACACACTCACAAGAGAAGCAAATAAATAGAAATGATCCCCACCATATTTAGGCCCTCCACATGGCCATCATGATCTGCCCTTCCTCTCTTCGTATCTTGGGCACAATTCTATCCATACAGTTAAGATCCATGGAATAACATATATATACATTAGTTGGTCCTTTAAAAAAAACAACACTAGTATCCAAAATCGTAAGAGAATATGAAGGCTTTGAAATTGACTAGACAGGGAATAAAACAAAAGCCAGTTGAACAAAATGCCAATTTCCCCTTTTGAACTCCTTCCCAATTTTCTTTGTTATCGACACAATCCCCCAAAACCACATTAAGCACATAATCATCATCAGTGACACATTGAAATGAATCAAGTAGCACCCAAAAAACTAGTATCCATATACTATAAAACAGCTAAGTATTAAAATGGGTTTCCATTTTCTTTGGGAGTCCTAAGGTGATGAGGAGATTAAGCTCTTGGTATTATAACCATTACCACTTCCGTACTCGTTGTTGTAGTACCTGCAGAAAACATAATACACATTACGTTTTATAATATAACTTGTTTGAGTAAAACGGTTAGATAAAGTTATATAATTAAACTAATAATTTTCAGAATATTAACATAAGTACATAACTAAATAAAATAATAAAGAAAATTCTATAGTACTAGGATATCCCGATGAATTTCAAAAACATGGGCTGCATATATATTCATACTGTAAATAAACTCATTATAATTGTAATTATTTTCAGTATTACGGTGTTTCCATAATAATAATGATAAATGTTTACGTACCTGCAAAGCACCTTGCACTTAACCACACTTCCAAACACATAGAACCCGGGTGCGACCATCATTCGGACAATGGACGGGACCAGATTTCTGGCCTTATCACCAGCCATATCCTCCATATAAACCGGATCAAACCCGGCTTCTTTATCTACCCGGAAAACGGTCAGACCGGGGTGGACCGAGTTGGCCAGGAGATGAACCAGCCACACGCTCTTTGACGCGCCGAAAAAGGCCTGCAAAAGCGGTTCTGGCCACGCGCGGTTCCATCCCAGCATCGCAACGATCTCGCTCATCTTCCTGTCGCAGAACCTGCTGAAATCCTCGCTGAAATGCCTCGTCCCTTTGCTGAGAACCTCTTCCCAGGTCAAGCCCTTGAGGAGCCGAAACGACGCCGCATTGGCGTCGCAGCGCTCCACCGGGTCGAGGATTTGCGCGGCGGAGCTCCGGTGGAAGCCGGAGGACTCGAAGTCCTCGAAGAAGGCGCGATTGAGAAGAGCCTCGAGGAAGAAGAGCAAGGTCCTAGGGTTTTTCGAGAGGCCGGAGATTTTGACGTCGTACGGTTGGAGGAGGACGGCGATTCGGTCGTGGATTTTGGCTCCCATGTGGCGGAGCTGCGCCGTGAGGGAGCGGCTGAGGAGGCGGACGGCGGTCCGGGATTCGGCGACGGCGACGAGGAAGCTCTCCACGATTTCCTTCTCGTTGGAGCTCGGAATCGGATTATGGTGATGTCGTTTTCTGTACGGCGAGGAAATATTGTTCGAGTTGCCGCTGCATTCGTCGAGGCCGGATTTCAAGCCATGGCAGTAGATTTCGAGCTTGTTGAGCTTTTTCTCCAGCTCGGCCATGGAGTATTTAAGCCTCGAAGCTTCCAGAACCGCTTCGTCTCTCTTCTTCGTCGCCTGAATCAGTTTGTGAGAGAGCTCCGCCACCGCGAGTTTCCACTGCTCCTCCCTCGCCGCCGTCGCCGAGGAATCCGCCGCCCCGCCGCTCGACGGCTTGGGACTCTTAATATTCCTCGTCAGCGACGAGATTATGGACTTGAAAATCCCGTTCGGACTCGCCATCGACGACAACCCATGCTTGTGAACTCCTCCGCCGCCGTTGCTATCCACCGGAACGACGGAGATCTTCTCCCTCGAATTCGGTCGGCACTTGTTGCACGACACCGACGCGTTGTCGTTTTGCATCTGCTGCTGCTGCTTCTTCGATCCACCGCCAACGCCACTCTTACCGTTTCTGTGAAGAGGCGTCGGGTGGTGCTTCGGAGTAGCACTACTCGTCCCCTTGTCCGTACACGCCGTCGTACTACTGACGGGGGTTTCTTCCTCGTTCTCTTCTTGAATCTGAATACGCAAAATTAACCACATATATATATATGTATATATATCTAGTCAAAATACACAATTATTCAACTTATAAACAAACAGAATGAACTTACGGGAGTGAAATGGGTGGACTGGGTTGGTGGTGGCTGGAGAGGAGAAGAAGAAGGTGAAGGTGGGGATTTGGAAGAAGAAGAGGGAGCCACCATTGTTTTGGGTGTCTCTCGTTATTGCATTGCTTTTGTTTGTTTTTTTTCTTTTTTTTAAACACTGTAATATGTGATAAATATATCTATATATGACTCTATATATCTATATACGTGGGTGAGAGAGAAGAGAGCACTGTAATATATGATATATATGACTATATATCTATATACGTGGGTGAGATGGAGAGAGAGAGATGGCTCTGTTTTGGGTATCGGTTTTTTGTTTTGTTTTGCGTATTTATTTTGTCATTTCGTCGCTTTGTAATCATGCCCATGAAATCAAAAATCAGTCTAGCAGCTAGATCACCGTTTTTTTTTTTTCTTTTTTTCTTTTTTTTGGCAGAAAATGAAATCCAAGCGCCAGTGTCCAAGGCTTTTGATGGGTCAATTTTTTCAGTTAATAATAATAATAATGCGGTTCATGAATTGGATTTGGAATTTGGGTTATGATTTTACTAATTGGCATAATCTGATAAAGGTAAATATAAATGATGGTATTTGAAATGGTTTCCTTTCAACAGCTTTCTTTTCTGAACCTGCTTGCTTTTTTGATCCAAATGGAACGTGTGTTCAATTGGATTTGGACCCTTTTGTTTTTGCATGAAAGTGGTCCACCTCAATGAGTGAAAGTTTTATCTTGACTTTATTAAGGACCGTTTAGTTCATTCATTTAAATTTTTAATTCGAGTTTAAATGTAATTTTATGTGAAAAAATTTTATTATAATAAAAAATTTAAATGTGATTATTTATGAGAATTTTTTACTGTAATAAAATTTGAATTTTAAACTCAAATTGATGAAATTAACGGGGCTTAAATTTTCATTTTAAGTGGATTAATTTGAGTGCCAATTTATACTAAATGAAGGCTATTTGAATGCGATTTTTCATTTTTAGTTTTTTATACAAAAATAGAGCCAATGAAGAAAAAGGTACTTTTAGCAGTTATAAGAAGTTTCCAGTGTACTTTTATTTTGGGTCGCAGTATGTGTATATGATTTTGCATATGATAATGTAACATTTCAAGTGGAACTTTAAATTCTAACTATATATAACTGAGAGTTGAAAATTTATTCATCAAAAACATATGAGGATTTAGGTGAGATGGGGTTTGGATAAAGGTTGTGGATAGGGGTGAACAAAAAACCCGATAACCACAAACCTAATTAACACACTAAACACAACTTATTTAAACATGAACCCGACCAGTCTGATTAAGAGTTCAATCCAATCCGACTATTAATTGAGTAGGTTTGGGTTGAGTTTTTCTTAACCCAAATTAACCCGAACCCACCAAATTTATGTATCTATATAAATAAATATTTTTCCTACCTCATAATATTAGTTTTGGTCTCGTATTTTACATTATTTACTTGACAACCTATTATATTTTACGTTATATGATTTTTTATTATTATTTGTTTATTGGTTTACAACTTACATATTTAAAATTATTTTGTATATATTTTATTTTTATATGAATTTATAACTTATGTGATAATCTTAGAGCTTTATAAGGCTAATATTGTTATGAAAGTTAGCTTTCTATTTATACATTTCTTATTTTAAGTTGAATGATTAGTTTTATTTATTTATTATGTTCAGCCTCATCAATCCACCTAAATTTTAATTAGGTGGGTTAATTTTAAATTTTAAGTTAATTGGGTGGGTTAAATTTGATATCAATCCACCCAAACTTAATTGAGTGGGTTGAAAAATCTTAAAAGTCCACCCAACACACCCAATATTCACCCCTAGTTGTGGGTTCAATTTTTTATTGTTTAAAAAAAAAAACAGTTGGTTGGCATTTTCATTCATAAATTGGATTTACCACTTGGGTTTTACCAATCAAGGAGTGATTTTGGTATTTATGCAAGAGAGAATTTAGGAAACTAACTTCAATTTCATGCATTCAAGGGAAAAATTCAGCGGCTCATTAATTACTCATTAGATAGTCCTAAACGGTTGGTTGTGATTATGACCATTTTTTAATAGTTTTACCAAAAAATTAGGGAAAAAAAAAAGATGTCACTTTCTGTACTTGAAAACCACAATGGTGTGTTAATTATTATTTGGACCAATTTGCCATTTAGCATCTGACTTACGTCAATGCAGTTTTATAGCCACGGTGGCCAATCTATATACATGAAAAGGGGTTTGATATTAATTAAAGAAGGTAGTTTTGCACAAAATCCGAGGACCAACCAATTAATCACCATAATTATCCTAGTTAAAAAGGCTACATTCCTATTGCACCATCATATTTAGGTTGTCCTAAGCTATGTAAATGACCACTTAGGCTTTATTCATTTTACATATTTAAATTTTTAATTTAAATTAACATGTAATATTTTTTTAAAATTTTTTATTATAACAAAAAAAATTAGATGTGATATTATTTTAAAAAATTTTAATTATATAAATTTAAAATTAAAAATTTAAATCAGTAAAATAAATAAGATCTTAATTAATTTATTTATTTATTTTATAATTGCCTATATTGATAGATCATTACATCTCTTATATTATTGCATGCATGCACGGATCTGAGGTTAAATAGAGAATTATTCGTTATTTTCCGTTCTTGGCCCCATAAAAACAACCATTATAGTGACAATTTTTGAGAAAGCGAAGTCACATGCTGTTTCATTACACGCCCAAAATTAATGTGCTCAGAGATGCCTTTTTTCACTTTTTTCTTCTTCTGAAAAGAAATTCAAATGAAAAGTATGCTGTGGTCACATGAGATGACTCTGCCGCGATGAACAAAGCTAAAAAATTGCACATTGAATTGAAAGATACGTGGCCCCGTTCACTTCACCGATTCGAGTTTAGAATTTGAGTTTTGTTACAGTAAAAAGTTATCAGAAACAGTCACGTCTAACTTTTTTATTACAATAAAAAATTTTCACATAAAATCACATCTCAACTCGAATTAGTGAAGTGAACGGGATGACCAACCACAGTGATAATAAAGTGAAAAAATATTGGCTTAAAAAGCCAAATATAAATTATTCTAGCCCACACTAATGATACTTGGAAAGAAAATAACGTCATATAATTTTGCAGGATTTTGTTATTCAAAACTCACGTATACATTGACGTAATTTGATAAGTAACATAGTTGAAGGAAGGTAACAAATCTAAGGTGTTGCGAAATAAATTTGGATTTTTCTCATTTTATCCTTAAATCTATTTTAACCGTCATATTAACTTTTATTTTATTTAAACAAATTATATATAATTCAACTACTCAAGTGACCGATTCTTTAGAAGGACTATGACCTGACTTGTTTTATTATGTCGAAAGAAGAATTCCTGCCACCAATAACGAAGGTACAATATACTTGTGAAATTAAAAATTAAAAATATTATAAAATAAAAACAATATACTTGTAAACCATTTGCCAACCTATTTCAAGTGGTTTGAACCACAGAGTTTAGCAAAACATTTAAAACCTTAATTCAAACCATTTGTACCAAAACTTGAACTAAATTTTTCATTTTAAATCAGAAAGTTAAAATCAACGCACGTCGAACCCGTTTAATTAAACGGACCCTTAAAAGTCGTTATAAAACAAAGATGTATTTACAAATTGCTCTGAATTAGACACCCTATAGCTTTGAACTCGATCGCAAGACACCCAAAAGCTCATTCTAACTTGTCGTTTGGGTGAAGATCATATCCGAAAGAAATGTGAATTGGGGTGTGGGAAAGTGGTTTTTGACCGCAGAAGGTGTAAGGAAGAAGAGTTATTAATGAAGCAGCTAAAACGGCAGACTCAATCAGACTCAAAACAAGGCATTTATGAGGGATCGTCATGTTTTGGTGGTCACATTTATGGAGATATTTTTTCTTTAACACCCAAAATTCGAATTCCCCAACTACCTACATTTATTCCGGAGAGAGAAGGATGGCTATTTTATATTTATATTTTATATTTATATTTGTATTTATATTCTCTCGAGACTTGTTCGGTTTGTTAATTCGAGTTTTTAATTTGAATTGAGATGTGATGTTATGTGAGAGTTTTTTACTGTAGTAAAAAAGTTAAATGTGACTGTTTCTGAGAGTTTTTTACTGTAATAAAACTCAAATTTTAAACCCAAATCAATAAAATGAACGGAACCTCAATTGCGGTGGATCTAAGACCGAGAAAACATCCAAAACAAAAAAAGAGTCCACTGCACTCTATGGTTTTGTGGGCATGTGAGTGTCATAAATGAGACAACGAGAGAGACTCGGAAGACTGCTCCATCATCCACAAAACGTGGTCCATGATCCACATTTATTGATGGACTTGTATTTGCTGATTTGTCCCAAGGCACAGGTTTAGCCGCTGACTTCTGTCATTTATTTGTATCCATCTTGGAGTCTATCATCACGTGCATGCGTCCCCCCCCTTTCTTCATGTTCCTCTCCAATATATATATATATATATATACACACACACACACACACACATATGTATGTATGTATGTATCTATTTATCTATAGTTCCTTTGGCTTGGTCTTGAGCTCTTGTGAAAAGCCCTTTGACATTAATGAGAACATCCAGGACAAGGTTTTGGAAATTGATACTTGTTGTGCCAGTTCTTATGGCAAAGAAGCATTAATAACTGCGTGTACGAATATTGATCACACATCAAGGAGGAAAAACATTCCACATTGTCCATTTTAATCTTCGTATTAGTTATTTGTGTCGCTAGCAAAAAAATATTAGTTATATATATAGTGAGACTTTCTTATGTGCAACGAAACAAATTACCTGAATCCTCTCTTAACAAAAAAACAAAAAAACAAAAAAAAAAATAGGTTGCTAAATTTGCACAATATTTGGATTGTGTGAAGTGGACATGCACAAAGAACAACCCTGGTTAGAAGAAATCTTACAAGTTATTCTCCAAAAAATTAAAAAAATCATGTTTATTCGGATATTTTCTTGTACTAATTGAACTCTATGCACGTGAAGAGTAATCTGTGTGTTAAGTTTTAAAATAATCTAACAACATAATTTAATAGGAACAAAAGGAGAGAAAAATATTTTAAAGAAACATACAGGAAATGGAATTGTAAAATAAATAAGGACTTATTTTACCAAGGGCAAAATGATAGATCAATGAGGAAGTTAAAAAAAAAAAAAATGTTTCGTCGGGTACTCAGGAACGAAAGGATTTTGTCCTCGTGAGTGAACTTTAATATGCGCTTTGAGTTTATAATGAAGATATATGAGTGAATGTATATGTGTAATTTGTCCTAAAATGATTAATTATGCAAAAAGGGACGCAATTGGATTCTATGTGAATTGTTATTCTAAAGAAACAAATCGTTCATTTTATCAATTTAAGTTTTTAATTTCAGTTTTATCATAATTAAAAACTCTTATAAAAAATCACATCTAATTTTTTTACTACAGTTAAAAGCTCTCACATAAAGTCACATCTCAACTCGAATCGGCAAATTGAACGAGACAAAATTGTATTATGACCTGAGTTGGTGAGAAAAATAGACATAGAAAAATGAGACGAGGTCTTTATCTATACTTAAAAGTAGTTATAATATGATTCTAAATTATTTCATCCTTCTTGAGCAAAAGAAAATTATTTAATCCTTAGAGCTCCTACAAATTTGTTGGAGCTAGTAGTCCTCTATGAAAATGATGAAGGTGCATGTATGCATTTTGTTGGAAAGAAGACGAAATTTGGTTATCAATGTTAATATACTTTTTAAACCTTGCATTATGGTAATTAATAATGTGAGTTCTTACATGTGTTTGATAAGTTGATTGACATTTCTTCTAATACTCGTGAAGTTTTACAAACGAATTGCTGATTTTATTTTTATTTTTATTTATTAGCATGTGGGAGAGATATTATAAAGGTAATTGTGTGCCCTTCATATAATAATTTAATTTTTACACAAAGAATCACATGAGATGCAAACTGTTTATGTTTTTTCCTTTTGCAGAAACAAAACTGTTTTAAATTTAAGGACGATGAAGAAAAGGCACTTCATTTTGATTATTGATGCTCATTTACTTTTAGAAAAAAAAAAAAAAAGAACTGTTATTCTTTTTGAAAAAAACTATTATATTCGTTTTTTTTTTTTTTAATTTTGAAACAGTCATTTCCTTTCTCCCTTCTTTGGGTGAACGTGTCCCAGTACAGTACCGAGCAGAGACAATAAACGATGTCATTTGTTTTGCTGTCGTTATCCGGCACTAAAGTAGAAAATATGTCGTTTCTCTACATGTGTAGAGGCCATGACGTTTCCTGCTTCAAGGCAAAATTCCACGTCGTTTGTTATAAAGTCTCCATTTAATAAACGTTGCGTCGTTTAGTTGTCGTTTAAGAGAACAATCAAATGATATATGTCGTTTTTATAATGAGGCCCATTGAAGTACAAAGCGCGTCGCGTCCAACTCGTTTTTATGGGGAGATAAAAGGATATGTCGTTTTTTCCATAGCCGTTGATTTTTTTTTTTTCCCTTCTGTTTTGTTTTTTTCCCGCAATTAAAGTCGTCCATTTAGTTGAACGGCGACATTTTCATCAAGCAAAATAAATAATAATTACATATATTACGCTCAAAATATATTCATCAAGCAAAATAACAAATAAAATATATTACGTTCAAAGAAGTTAGAATTTTTTTAAGTTGAAATTCAAATTAACAAATCAAGTATTAAAGAGAAAAAAGGTAAATAAAGATTAAAATAATTGTAAGAATCTCAAAATTAATCATCAATCTTCCGTCAAAATAAAAATTAAGCATCAATCTCTTTGTTTTAATAATATTTATTAGTTAAATTTAGAATTCATTTATTACATCAAAATTTAGTAAGAATATATATATATATATATATATAGGATGAAATACTCAACACTATCCTAAAATAACAAAAATATGAAGACAATGACATACAGAAACGACAAGGCTTGGGTTTCTAATTTTCCATCGTCTTCCCTTGTATGAATTCCGTTCCAAATTCCCGACAAATTTTTTTTTTTTTCCTCCGACACCATTAAACTAGATTCATAGATTCGCAGTGAATCCAATCCATAATTATCCAGTTCGATTTTCTGCTCTCGATTCTTCATCATCATCGTCTTCGCTGATTGAATCAGTCAGAGTCATCCTAATCAATGGCGTGGAACGTGTTCAAGTTCTGTACGGCCCTGCGAGCGCTGGGCTCCGTGATAATCGTGTTCGTCCTGGGAATAGTGTCGCTCACCTATTACGTCGTCGTTTTAGCCGATTACGGACCTTCGCTCTTCCTCGGAGGCCTTGATTCCCTCCTTTCTCTACTTGTCTTGCCCTTGTTTCATTCTCTGGTAATTTTCTGTTTCCGATTATTCTTGATTTCTTATTCTTTGAGATTTAGTAATTTTTAGCTGAATTTCTCTACTTTTTGGTGTTTAGAACTTGTCTTAGACTTTAATTGGATAAATTTAGCTTTAGTGTTGATCATGTCCTTTGATTATTCTTTTTGGATGAAGTTATTATTATGATTATTTGCAAACTTATTGTATTTTTGAAAAAAGTTTCAAAATTTATTTGTCTCCAATTGTTTCTCTTATTTGCTGAAATTATTATTAGTATTGTTGTTGTTGTTGTGATGTTTTTTTTCTCTCTCTCTTTTGTACTGAAGAATGTTCTTTTGAAGTTTGAACATACTGCACTAACAAAAGTTTGAAAATTTAATTTCCCAAGTGTTTCTTAGTAGTACAGAGGGGCTAAAATTTGTATGCTTTAATCACATGAGTAGAACACTGTAAAATGAGATGTTACACACTGATTTTGTTTTGGTTCAATTGGTGAATTGGTTGTGTAGCTAGTGATGTTACTGTGGAGCTATTTTTCTGTTGTTCTTACGGACCCGGGTGGTGTTCCGCCGAACTGGAGGCCTGTAACGGACGAGGAAAGGGGCGAGGCAGATTCATTGGTGGAGTCGGAATATAATGGCTCAGATCTAGCTTCGAACCGATTAGATGATCTAGACCATCAAAGAGTGCGTTTCTGTCAGAAATGCAACCAGTTTAAACCGCCTCGGTGCCATCATTGTTCTGTCTGTGAGTTGTTTGGATTGAGTTATGTTTTCGAATGTTTGTTTTGAATAATTGATGTGCCACATGGGAAAAATTAATTTTTGGACTGGTTCCAGGTGGAAGGTGTATATTGAAAATGGATCACCATTGCGTTTGGGTTGTGAACTGTGTTGGGGCATTCAATTACAAGTATTTCCTTCTTTTCTTGGTATGTAAACTGAATTTTTTGTGTTTCGAGTTTCATGAGTACTTAAATTTCTCTAGAATTCTTATTTATGCCTACAATTCTAATTTACATACCTGTTTTTTCCCCCTGATTATAATGATTACCTTTAATTCTTCGATTATTTCGTAGATGGTTATCTATTTAGTTCAAAGTTCATACATGCCTATTTCATTACAGACGATTCATCAAGCACATTTTTATTTGTTAGCTTGATGCTTAATTTATTCCTAGGACCGATATTGCAAGTTTCTTCTGTATTAAATTTTGACGCTTTGCACCATGGCTGATGTTGTTGGGCACTGAATTTGTCTTTCTCTTGAATGTATCAGTTTAGTTCTTTTTCATATGGTTCCCTTATCATATAAATGTAAACCAAATACGGGATCTAGTATGAGTGTATGACTGAGATGTATCTTAATTTCTTGCTCAATCTTGATGCAGTTTTACACATTTCTTGAGACAACTGTTGTCACTTTATCATTATTGCCGTATTTTATAGCATTCTTTACTGAAGGTGAGATACCTGGAACACCAGGCACCCTTGCAGCCACTTTTATAACATTCAGTAAGTTCTACGATGACCATCTTTGGTGATTTAGTTTATCACCTCAGGTTTTTCTTGCTTACCTCTATTGTTTTCAATCTTTCCAGTTTTGAACTTCGCCTTTGCTTTGAGTGTTATGGGGTTTCTGATCATGCACTTATCGTTGGTGGGAGCCAACACTACTACAATTGAGGTAATTGCTTTTGCTATTTATGCTTCCCTTAAAATTTTCTTAGAATTGGAAATTGCAAAAGACTTTTGCAACACTAACATAACCTTCTAGCCATTTTACCTTTTGTCAGGCATATGAGAAGAAAACAACTCCCAAATGGCACTATGACCTTGGTCGGAGTATCAACTTTGAACAGGTTTAACTACTGCCAAAACTTTCAGGCATCTGTTTTTCGGTTGTTCCATATGGTTAACAAATCAAACTTTCCCCTCCTTTGCGTAGCATCACTATGGCAAAAAGTTTCTTTGCATCACTACACGTTTACAGTTTATTGAAAGAAGCTAAGATTTTTTTAAATAAACTTTTCATTTGTGCTTCTGCTTCTATTTTTAAGTAAAAATAACACTTCTTCTAAAAGCATAGAAATCACAACCTAAGCCTAATTAGAAAAGTGTCGAACAAATGAGAAGCTTGGTTCGGAAAGTGATAAGACTTTTTCTCTATCAGGTCTTTGGAACGGATAAGAGGTACTGGTTCATACCCGCATATTCGGAAGAGGATTTAAGACGGATACCTGCACTTCAGGGTCTAGAATATCCAACGAAGCCCGAGTTGAACGCGCTCCGGCCATTATGATAGCAAACAAGAACGTGAGGTTTGGATTTCTTCAGACTGGTGTGACACAAACATACCCTGATTATACCCTGGAAAAATTGGCTCGGCCAACTGTATTATCCCAACACAAGTCATGAGTCACAGATATCAGCTTTGAACTAACCTCATTGTTTCAGTCAGACTCAAGGAGATGTGATGAGTGGAAAAGTATTCTTTTCTGGCTGCTTGGGTGAACTCCAATTTATACAGGATACGATGTAATTGATTAAAATTGGGCTTTGTCTGTGTAAGGATGGAGGAGGGGGAAAAAATGAAAAATTGGGGTAATTGGGTTTGTATAGATGTGATGTATGAATGCTATTTATCACGAGCTTTTGCAGGTATATCAATGTTATTTGTTACTTGTTAGAAAACAGGATTTGGTTTTTTTTTTTTTTTTTTCCCTTGGAAAGAATAAAATTGCATGTATGAAGCGCATTCTTATTCAGACCTGATTAGAAACTTTCCTTTTCAACTCTTTGCTCTGTTTAGTGTATACCACCACAACCGAAGTGAGGAACTTCTTTGTTAACATTTTTAATTTTTTTTTTAAAAATCAGTTATCTTGTTAAGAAAAAATGAAAAAAAAAAACTAAAAACTGCAGTACCCTATGTTTAAAGCTTAAACGGCCCCCTCCCTCCCCCTCCTCCTCAAACAGAGATAGCCTTCATCCAACATTTTCAAGTTCTCTCACACTGTTAGCAGTCACCAATTGGCCAATTTCCCTTATTCATCCGTCAATGTTCGGGTTTTGAAAATTGAAAAATTGACGGAATCGGTCGATGATCGAATCGAGAAAATTTAAAAAATGTGACTGAATTTTCACCAGTAGAACTCACCACCCTCCACCTAAAATACTCCTTGCGCTATTAAACCAAAGGATCTTAGACTTGCTATATTTGAATTTTTATTCTCTGTTTTTTTTTTTTTTAAAAAGAAAAGCATGTAGCATGTGGTGGAAATAAGAAATAATGGCCTCGTTCGTTTCGCTGATTTGAGTTTAGAATTCGAGTTGAGATGTAATTTTATGTGAGAGCTTTTTACTGTAATAAAAAAGTTAGATATGACTGTTTGTGAGAGCTTTTTACTGTAACAAAACTCGAATCAGCGAAACGAACGAGACTAGTGGGATCAAACCCACAAACACCCGCCCATCATTTTAACCCCATTGTTATGCCATCAGACAAAAGGGGATTATGCTATATATCATTATATCTAATCTAATCTTATTAAATGGGCATCCAAGTTCTAAAATGAAAAATTCTCAAAAAGATTACCCTAACAAAATGAAGGAAATCCTTTAAAAAAAAAAAAAGAAAAGAGTCTTTAGAGGGGCAAATAACCCCTATTTACTACACGTGTCAAAAGGTCTATAGTGGGGCACCTAACCTGTAGATGTACTACACGTGTCAAGGCTCAAAACGTAGACCTCCTCGTCCTATGCGGAGAGAAATCCTGGGTGTACTAGAACTTTATTGAGGAAGAAAAAAAATAAAAATAAAAATAACACATAACACGAAAATAAAAACGATTTGTAAATTATATTTATTTAATAAATATTTTAAAAACAAAAATAAAATTAAAAAATGATTAAAAATTATTATTTTATTATTATTTTTTTAATACTTATTAATAATATTATAATATATTAATTAACAATTATAACTTATTTTTAAAATAATCTCATTTTTATTTTTATATTAAAAATAAAATCATTTTTAAAAACGTTACTAGAAAGGTCTAAAGATCTCGTATAAGTCGGTTTGGTTTAGGAGTGAAAGTAAGTTTAACCTTTTGGATTAGGCGGTAGGGCTATTAGTCCTTTCGTTTCCCATGAAAAAACTAATATAATAATCCAATCCATAGCCACAAGAATTTGGTTCAATTCTCTGATCATTCCAAATTCTCTTCATTTTTGCTCGTGATTTTAGTTTCTTCCCTTTCGAAATTTTGGCAGGTAATCTCTTTCTCTCTCTAGGATGTTGTTAGGGTTTCGTGATTATTGCTTAATATGATGGCTCTGTTCTTTCTTCGATAGTCGATCCACGGAAGCTTGTGTTTTGTTTGCTTTAGCCACGATTCGGGTTGGGTTTAGATATGGTGATCGCTGCAATAATTTTGGGTTTTTCTTTTGCAAAAGAAAATTGATAGAAAGTTGCTTATTTTGCTCGGAATTTGTTATTTAAGATGGCGATTGTTTGATCATTTGATCTGTAGTTTTACTTACGATTCTGTTTGATTTATGAGAAAATTGGATTGGCCCTATTTTATTCTTTCTTATTTTGGCTTGATTTGCAATCATTCATATTCGTGATTCTTCTCTCTTTTTGCTCATATTCATGCTTTTCTGCTTTTTATTAAAATTTCTGTTGCAAACATCTGTCAGTTTGAAGTGTTTGTCTCTCTTTCCTATATAATCCTGTCCTACAGATGTGGATTTCCAATTCGGGATGCTTAGAAATTTACTCGTGTTTTGGAGCTTGAGTTTTTATCATATTTTGTGCATAACAAGTTTTTGCATTTATCTTATTTACATTATTGAGGGTAAATTTTGCATTTTTATCCTGTAATATGAGCTATACAGCATATGATTTGCATTGATTTTTGCTCGAAAACGAAATGCTCATGTTTAGGGGTTGCTTATGTTATGCTCCTTTTCAGGGGAAAGATGCAAGGAGGCCGAGGCAGAGGTAGGAGGAATTCTTTCTTCGACTTTCCTGACCCGTTTGCTGGTTTGGGGGGTCCAGGAAGTCTGGCGTCTAGTCTTTTTGGAGGAAGGGATCCGTTTGATGATCCTTTCTTTACCCGCCCGTTTGGAGGAGGCATGTTTGATTCGAGCTTCTTCCGTCCGATGGGAAATCCTTTTGTGGAAATGCACCCATCTGGGTTGATCGAACAACGAGAAGCTCTGGAGCCTAGACTGTCCAGGGGCCCGATCATTGAGGAAATTAATTCTGATGATGAGAAGGAAGACGCTGATAAAGAGAGGAAAGAAAATCCTAGAAAGCATGGTAGGTCAGGAAGTGGACCATATGTTGAGGATCCTGATGACGAAGCTGAAGGTAAAGCATGTTCTTTTCCAGTGCGCTTTTGACTTTGTTGACTTTCGAATGTACTTGCATGAATCTGAACTATTATGATGGATTTTGTGTGTTCCTTGTTGCAGAGAAGAAGAGCAGGCATTTGCAATATGGAAATGATCTAGGTTGGTCCAATCGCGCACAGTGGCAACCCCCAACTCACAGCTTTACCTTTCAAAGCTCTTCTGTCACTTATGGGGGAGCAAACGGAGCTTATTATACCTCTTCTCAGTCAAAAAGGACGGGAAGCAATGGAGTAAGTGTTCGAAATGCCATTAGTGGCATTAGTCAATCATTACTGTTACTGACTTCTATCCGAAGACAGGAGAAAAAAGCCCCATCTCACTTCTTTTGATGTCTGAACAGGTGACTATTGAAGAAAGCAAAGAGGCTGATACTGCTACTGGACAAGCTTCCCACCTACTATCGAGGGCCCTCCACAATAAGGTATCCCTCTGCAACGGATTTGTTGGCTGTGCTGTCAATGTTTTATTTTATTTTATTATTCTACGGCTCTTTATTATTTTGAGCAATTATTTCCTTACATAATTTTGGGACGCAATTTAACTTACATCCGGCTTTCACTTCTCTTCAGGGCCATTCTCTTTCAAGAAAGCTCAATTCAGATGGTAAGGTGGACACGATGCAGACCCTACACAATATTAATGAAGGTACTCAATATTGTCGAAATGTGCATTTGCCTTAGGCTTCTAGTATTACCACGGCTTCATGGTCTAATCGGAAATGTTTTATTTCTGGAATCTTTAGACGAGCTTGATGGTTTTGAAGAAGCTTGGAAGGGAACTGCTCAAAAACACTTTCCTGGCTGGTCTGGTAATATTAGTGGTCATGAGAGTGCAGGTACGTCGTTTCCTCGACTTCACCATATCCTACTATGTTTTTGACGTGGACAAGTCTTATTTCATTATTTGAGATAGTGACTTAACAAACCATTGTTTACTTACTGCGACAATTTGATTCAGGAACTAGCAGCAGCGGACACAATGGCAGGGGGGGTTGGGCCCTTCCGTCCACAGAATCGTCTCAGCATTCCGGTAGAGGGATGCCAAATACTATAGATGGAGGTGGGTCTTCTCGTCAGCATTCTGGTAGAATGAAAGCAGCAGATGGTACTAATAGGAGCCACTACCCTCGTGGGAGGGCAAGAGATTGAGGATTTATAGCTGAACGCAAATGAGCTATCAATGGTTCATCTTTCCTTTGTTTTTCACCGTCATATTCTCAGGTTTAGTTTTGGATATTGTATGCATCAACATGGTATACTTGAGGATGGCTCCATACCAAATATTTTGGATTGGTTCTCTCCATTTCCATGTGATAAATATACTGATCTTCTGTTAAAAATGGTGGAAGCGCATAGCTTGTTTTTGTTGTACTACAGCTTGTTCAATATGGTACGAATTTTCTCGATGATATATAATGCTGACTTGTTATTCAGATGGTTGCTTTTCTAGTTTAAATATAGCATTTTATGTATTTACATTTACAATGGGCAAAAGCGAAAATGGTAACAATACGAGCTAAGCTATACCTGTGGTTTCCTTTGTTTGATCGTTATAGTGAAATTGATTTTTGATGAGTGATATGCATGCGATCTTAAACCGTTAGAATTGCACAATTTAAAACGAATTAAAACGTCCAAATTGTAGGTGCTTTGTATTTTTCTTTATTGTTTTATACCAAATGAAATGCTTTTGCATTGTTGTACTTGATTTTTTTTTTAAACACTTGGTAGTAACACACAAAAGTTACTTGAGTTGATTAAAAATGTACATGAAAGATGTAGGTGAGGGCATATCATCACACGTTTTCTTGACATAATTCCTATGACCCATTTAGTTGAAGGATTTGGATCACATAATTAGAATGTAAGAATTCATGTTTGGATCCACTAAATTGTCCGGTTGATTTGAATCAAGGTCTGAGTTGTGGGTCTTGATTCGGAATCACCCCCCAACTGCAATCAGTTAGCTTGTTATAATTTTGAGTTATAATTATTTGTATAATTTTTTTAATACTTCATTTTTTTTAATTATATCACGAATTATATTTATTATATAATTTTTTAAATTATTGGTCATGATTCAAATTTAAAAAAGAAGACAATCAAACACTGGTTCGAATCACATTTCAGGTTAGAATCAAAATCATGCATATTCACATCCAAACGAAGGTTCTAATCACTCTGAATCATGACTCAAATCATGAATCATGATTCTGAATCAAATGACTCAAATCACCTTGATTTCAATTCTTATATCAAACGGATCCTAAATCAAGAAACGTAATTTTACTAATGGGATAATGGGATAATGACAAAACTCTACTTTTTTAAGTGAGATATTAAAAAATATGTTCTCGTCTTTTTTTTTTTTTAATTACGCGAAGTGGATATATGTTTTTCTATCCACACAAAGCCTACTTTCAAATGTCAACTACAATCAAAATTAACCGTATAAAATGATATTCTATTTTGCCTTGAATAAAAGTTATTGCTTTCATGTTTGGGATTTTTGTCTCAAAGCATCGTCATTTATTATGAAGGATACTTGTGCTCTTTACCCAGTTGATCAAAAGTGAATTTTCTGTGATTATAGAAGTTTTGAGATTAAAAGATTGAAAAATAGGACATTAAAATGTTTTTTAAAACACAAGTAAATTCTTATTTATGATTATTATTATTATTTTTTGCTTTTAATTTTATTTGATCAAACACAACAAATGCTTTTGTTCCCTTTCATAATCCAGCTTGTTACTCCATGTAATTGTTGAAATGCCATGTAATTGTTGTCATTTCTAAGACGCGCAACAAACCTAGTCCACGAACTTCCGAAGGAAATAACAGCCACAAGGCCAACAGCTTCAGCTAATTAATATAAAACCCCAAAATTTTCAAAAAATTTCCCAAATCGTATCCAACACACAACTGAACTGAACGAAACGATCTCCGGGTCTAGGGCTTGGCTCAAATCGGAACCAGAAATGGCGGTTCTCAGAGCCACAACCCCCGCAATCCTCAGCAGAATCTTTCAACCATCGCTTTCGCTTCTATTCTCCGACCGCTGCAAAGTCGCCGCCGATTTGATCAGCTGCAATGTGGCTTGCCGAGTTCCGCGCCGTCGAATCAGTTTGGTACCCGTTCGGTGCGCCGCTGCCGGCGGCGGTGAGAAGGTTTCCGCTCGGCTATCGCAGATGAATCAGCTCTTGCAGGACGCGGAGGAGCGAGCTCTCTACGCCGACGACGGGCCTATTCCGCAGATTACTTTGGGTATGTATTTTCCGATTTGATTTTTATATTCCTTGAAATTATAAGACGTAAAAAAGATTTTTTTTTTCTTGTGTTCTGTTGGTTCTGTGTCGTGAATTGATTAGAGGATGGGGGGAAGAAAGCAAAGGTGAGATTTTTATTTTTTATTTTTTATCAAAATTATACATATTGGAGTTCATATCTTGATGAGTTTAACGGCGGACTGGTTTTATCTTCAAATCTATTGCTAAGTTTAATTTTAGAACAAGTCTATTGTGCGTGTGTATATATTTGTTTTGTACTTGTCTGATGCTATCGCAAGATTCTCTCTCTCTCTCTAAATTTTCTGTTATTACATAGAGTTTAATCATATTTGATCATGAATGTGTGTGTGTATATTGTTTTCAGACCGTGTAACAGTAAGTTTTGCTAGAAGTGGCGGTCCTGGGGGTCAGAATGTAAATAAAGGTTTGTTTAATTTTTCAGTTAGTATTCATTAGTCTATTTTCATGTCTGCTGTTATTTTCATTGATTGTTCTTTCTTATTACTGAGTGCAGTGAACACGAAGGTCGACATGCGATTCAACGTTAAAAATGCGAATTGGCTTGGTGACAGGATTAGGGAGAGGATTATGCAAATGGTTTGTTTTACCCAACAGTCTTTTTTTTTTTTCTTTTCTTTTTCCTTTTTCAAATTTGCCTATCAAAAGAATAAGAAACTGTTCTGGTTATTCTTGCCTGCGATATGTTGAGTTATGACATAATATGTTAATTGTTTGGTCGAATTCGTAAGTTTGCTTGTTGCTCTTGGGTTTTCTCTATTTTTGGTGATTGATTTCCTAAACTCTGTTTTCTCATTTCTGTTTTTCTTTCTACAAACTCTTGGTGTTGCCCTGGTTATGAGCAGGAAAAGAATCGAATAAACAAGGACGGGGAGCTTGTGATATCTTCAACGAAGACTCGAACACAGAAGTGAACTTCTTTCCCCTTCTTTAACTTATCCATGTTACTTATGAGTTGCCAAAGCATCTGGTTTGATTCCACCATTCTTCTTCAGGGGTAACATCGAAGATGCACTTGGAAAACTTCAGGTACTAATGGACATATATGACTTTTCCATCTTCTTCCATGAGTTCTGAGATTTATCTTTGTTACCGAGTCAAGATGTCTAGTAGTAGAAACTAGACCCTTGAAGAAGGTTTTCGTGACTGTTTTGAATGAAATTATCACCAAAATATTGTCTCTCCGCCAACTCAATTGCGAGACTGTTCTGCCAACTCAATTGCGAGACTGTTTTACCCTCTTCAGACTGCATGTTAACTTTTTTCTTTTTTTTTTTCATAGGCAATCATTGATGCTGCTGCTTATGTCCCACCACCTCCTTCAGAAGAACAAAAGAAGAAAATCGCAAAAATGTGAGATACGTTTGCAATCTGCAATTTCCAATTTATGACCTCTAGTATTACTGCCTGCCACACTGAATTGGCTTCTTCACGTCATTTTTTTTTTTTTTTTTTTTTTTTTTTTAAAGGGGGCTTTTTGAACAAAAACGGCTTAAAAGCAAGAAGGTGCTCTCAGATAAAAAGGCGTTTAGAAGAAGTCGGAACAGTTGGGATTAGCCTATCATGTGGTGTGGCCTTAGTGTTTTGAGATCCTCATTGTCATTCCTGTCAGTTCATTTTCTTCTTCACTCTCAATAATGCTTCTGCGTCATTTGTTTTCTTATATAAATTTCTTTGGAACCTTATGTCATCTTCCTTACAAATGTTATCTTTGTAGAATCTGGAGGAAGCATTTGGATGTTGTGATAATTCAGAGAGACAATTCAAAAGATGGGGATTAAGATGGATGAATTCCTCAAGAGCAGGCTGTTAATTGGCGAAAATACTTTCTACATTATTTCACAGCTCTCTTCATAATAAGACTGTAAATTATAGTATATTTTGTAGGTTTTCCGAACAGAAATGATACTTACAGAATATATAAACAACTCAATTTTTGAAAACTTGGAAAGTAAGTTTAATACAATGTAGAGATTCAATATTTTTTGCTGAATTATGAGATTCAATATTTGATTGGGCTTCTAAAATTTTGAAATTTTATTGTTTGTGGTGTATTATATTCGTAACGCTGGTTTTACTTTTGTTCACTTTTATGTTCAAAGAATGGATTATTCTATTAGCAGTTGAAAGAATGCATAATAGTTGTTTCATGCGTGTCCTAGGCATCTTTGATTTCTCCTCTCAATACAAAACTGTGCGCCAATTTAATGCCATTTTTATGGTCACATAGAAGTCTTGTATTGATTCTTCTAGAAACATTTTTGAACCACGTAACTCGTACACGTTAATAGGAAAGAGCAGAACCCATATTTACATATTGGTTTATGTATAATTTGAATCTGTTCGATGTAATTTTTTTTTTGGGTACTATCTAAAATTATAGTTACTGATCAAAGGTGCTATTTTGCGCTTGACCATAAAATTTATATAAACAAATGCTAATATTGGCAAGATTATATATTTCTATATTAGTGAGGGGTTAAATAAAAATACATTATTCTTCTTTCATTCACCTTGTTTTTGGAATCATGATGTTAATATCTGTCACCTATAATGAAAAAACAGACATTTAAAAAAAAAAAAAAAAAAAAGGTACTACAAAACAGTGAAATACAAGACAAATTCTGTACATAAAATTTAAACATTAAAAAAATAAAAAATTTACATTTCCTTGGCAAAATCACTTGCGAATGACATGTTCTTCTCCCGATCGCTGATCAACATGCTTTATCCACTTCCCCTCCCCCTTCGCCGGACGAGAACTCCCTCCTCCGCCGCCGATCGCTCCGACGTGAGCGATGTCCAGTCCATTCCCCACAGGCAAAAACACTGACCTCACCAAACGTCGCGATCCTCCGTCTACCACGACGCGCCTCCACCGGAACCCGGCAGCGTTCTTCGAGCTCGCGTTCTTGCACACGAGCACCGCGCCTCTGTGGCTCAGCTCCGCCACTCTCAGAAACCTAGCGAAGTCCTTCCGCTTGCAATCCACCACCATGAAATCGGCGCCGGCGAGCGACTCCATCACTTCCTCCGGCTCTCCGACTAAAACATCCGGCGGCGCAATTCCGGCGACTGACGAGAACTCACCTAGGGCTTGGAGGTATTCCGATCGCGACCGATCGTCCGGCACCACGCACGCGTGCCGCCCTCCCGTGTGGCGGCTGGCCACAGCCAGGCCGACGCTCGTGGCGATCGGTCCTCCCTGCGTCCACGTCTCCACTATGAACTTGGCGTTCCACCCCGCCGCCATCGCCGATACAAGCTCTGCTACTCCGGATTCTAGGAAAATCTCGCACTGAAGAAAGAAAATCGATATCAGATTTCTCAGAGACCAAACACAAATTCAGAGCGGAAAAAAAAAAGTTTTCGTTTTGCTTACAGATTTAACGGTGTCGATGTAAGCTTTTGATGCAGTTTCTGGAGACCAAACTAGCTTCATTTCCTCTAATCTTCTTCTTCTTCTTCTTCTTCTTTGTAATGTGAAAAATTCTTCTTTGCTTGTTCTTTGGAGAGAGAGAGAGAGAGAGCCAAAATTTGGTTTGTAAAATAGAGTTCAACTTGGCTTTTAATTGAGACAGAAAAATGGCTGCTATTAATACTCAAAAAAAAAAAAGAAAAAAAAAACAGAGAGAATTCAGAATAGGTGGTTTTAAAGATGTTTTTTTATTTTTTTGGGGGGGTGGACCGTTGACATTTTTATACACAGAGCGCATGAAGACCAACGTGCGGATTGATATTACAATGGGTTTTCTTTTTAATTTTTAATTTAATTTTTTTTTATTTTGTGGGTTGTACACCAACACCTACCTGGTTTTCGGTTTTATTTCCACATTTATTATTAGTGTCAAACGTAACAAATACGGTTGGAAAAACAAAAGAAACTTTCAAGTGGAAGAGTGAGACAACCAAGATATTGCTAAATATGTATTCATATTTATCTATGTTGTATAGTTTGAACTGCCCATTATAAAAATCATTTTAGAATGGAAAAGATGTAAATTTATAATGTAACTTGATAGAAATTTATGATTCAGAATTGTAGGCGTAATTTTCTTCCTTTTTTTAAAAAAAAAAAAAACTTTTTTGCTATTTATACTTATGAGTTATTCTTGATCTTGGCTTGTACATAAAGTTTTTCGTTATTATGGCTTATTTCTTAGGTTCTTAATTCTTATGCCATATCACGTCAAATTTTGCTAGGTTCACATTTCGCAGTCGACACCCTAATAATTAGGCCTAAACAGTAATTAGAATAAAGTATGCAAGTGATCTCTAGGCCACAAGTTTTTACTCTCGCCATTCAAAGTATATATATTTTTCAGCAACTAAATTCCTACCCCATTAAGAATTTAAGATTATTTTGACAAAGATAATTTATTTTATTTTTTTATTGTTTAAAAGGGGATTAGTGGCATTTACTACTGCTGGCTCATGTTTATCTAAGCATTAAATAATACATATATATAACTGTGTTAATAAGAAAGGTATCTTAATGTCAACATGTTATAATCGGATCAGATTATGGGACCACATTATCCCATCTTTTGGTGTTAATATCTTCTGGTGCAACTTAAGTGTCTACATCCATCATTTCGTTATTTAGACAAAATAATAGTAAAGATGGCTACTGATACTTTTTTTTTTCTTTTTTTTCACCCCCCACCTTGGCTTTTCCATGTGAAAATGATGATCGCCCCACTAAACCCTTTATTATTTTGTGCCAATAATACTGTACAGAGTCATAAAATCTTGATAAAACTGAAATCTACAAAAACATTAAAATATGTTATTGTCCACAACAGCCTCATCCACAATTTAATATGCTGTACAAAATTAATCATAACCAATATCAGTGGATATATATATCTTTGATCTTTGATTAATATCTCAACCTAAATACGTTTTGAAACACTGAACCGTAAAAATAACTATCCACAAGTCGGTCGCTGTCTCCTTTTTTTTTTTTTTTGGTTTTTCCTCCTAATAAATGTAATATGTTGTACATCGACATATTGTTATGTTCTATTTCTTTCTCTTTTTTTTTTTTTTTTGGTTGAAAATGTCAAACATTGCCCGAGTTAAAGATGACATCCAACATCTCAATTTGGTACGGAATACAGCTATAGAACACATGAGCTTTTTTAGGTTTTTCCTGATCTCATCTTAATTATCATGTGATAATGGATGAGTACTCCACCTATTAATCCTCGTATTATACATTTTTTTTTTCCTAATAAAAAAAGATCTAGTGGTGCACTATATCTCTTAATCAGCAGTAATTTTAGGTACCACTGAATATGTATAAAAAGCCTGAACTAGTCTCTTACCGATCATCCACCCAGTTTTCACTTTCCCCACCTATGGTGTGGCCCATAGAGACCCACTTATTAATTTCCCTAAAAGGGTTAGGTAACTTTCTGAAATGAAGACTCAAACCCTGAATGAATAAGCATAATAGACCTATCAAAGACATCTTTACCACTACACCACGGCCCTCATACTATACCTTTTTACTCAACAAAAAAGGAACATTAGTGTCATCTTACTCCTCATCTGTTTTCTCACATTGAAAATTACAAGGATTTACCAATTAAACGAAAAATTACTTAAAACATGAACCAAATTTTAACTTAAATCACCGCACGATATACTAAACACCGACAACACATCAGTCAAACAGGAGTTCTAATCAACTTAGCTGGCCCCTACTAATATTATACTATATTGTGTAAATATTCCAATTAGCTTAAACGTTAATATCTTATTTATTTTACCGATTTGAATTTTCAGTTTTAGGTTTTTACAGTTAAAAACTCTCAAAATTTGTTATATCTAACTTTTTCTATTAGAGTTAAAAATTCTCAAAAAAATATCATATCTCAACTCAAATTGAAAACTCAAATTCGCGAAACGAATGAGGCCAAAGAAACGATTATGTTCAATCCCATTTGATCAGCTTAATCACCATCCTCGTCATCAAATGATAACCACTGTAGATTTAGACGGCGATTGTTAGTTTTTGGAGACCAAAATTTGGAAGTAATAGATAGGTAGGTCTATCAATTCTCATATGGGAGGGCCCCACTTAATGGAATGCAAATATGCAATACGCAACATAAAAAGAAAGGAAATATCCAGAAAGTGTGAAATGGTCAACTCGTGGTGAGAAGGTCATGGCATCCGTAATCTTCATGCGTGATGTTACTCTTGAAAGTTGAAACAAAGAAAAATAAAAGAAAAACAAACCAAAACAAAAGACTACCAAATCAAGCTGAAAGCACAAATGTGTCGGCTTCCTCCTGCGTCATACGTCAGTATTTATCGGTTCGCGCTCACAAATAATTCATATATACACAAAAACATCATAATATATATATATACACACACACATATATATTTTGTATTCATGCGTAACACAAATATACATTGACAACTACGCGATAAGGGTAAATACAGTTCTGAAGAATTAGATTGCGTTATAATTGTTTTGGATTAATATATGTGGACGAATTTTTAATGTTTACGTTTTCATTTATTAGTAAAAGTTTTTATAATTCAGGACTATCATTTTTTTTTTTTTCCGTTTAAGAGGAACAGAAGTTAGTCTAATAGGTTGAAAATGTCTTAAAAAGAAAACAAAAAGATTTATTATGCAACACTTTTAATTTGTTACTTGGTCCCTCAACCAAAATTAATTTACAATATCAGATATCCATGAAGGACCATAACTAAGTAATCCGTGTGTGTTTAAATGTTCACACACTGCAGTTGAATTCTATTATATTCTGACCAATTCTTATGTGTTGATACCGGCATCAAAGCCGACCGATGCCAAAATATGCGTTACAGTACATCACATTACGACATCTTGTCTTTTTCTATGTGAAAATAATATTGTCTAATTAATACACTTTTGTTTTTTTGGGTCTGAATTGTGTGATATATCCATTTGACTCTTACGAAATAATTTGCAGAGATTTTAAAATTAATAACACAAATATTCTTCTAGTACTCGGTTACTTCTTTCGCAAGGAAAGTAACGAATCTATGAATCATAGAGGTGTCATCCTTGTACCAAATCCCATTTCTGTCCGATTGGTGTCCAAATTCTATCTAATAAAACTCAGAACGATTAATTACAATTTATAATTAATGATATTACTCACTTTGATGCATGGCTTTAGTTTATACACGTATATATAAGTCATATATAAGATAAGGAGGATTTATTTACATGTCATTTATAGGTGGGCGATATAAGGTGACCCTGACCCATAGGGAAAAATCAAGCTTTTTTTTTTTTGTTTTTTTTTGTTTTTTGAGAATGGGAAAAACCAAGCTTGTTCAAAGGAAGAAACCTGGAAAATCCATAAGAAGAAACCTACAAAGATAGGGCGAGTTTAGAACTCGTTCCAAAATGATTTTATTTTTTATATAAAAATGAAAATGAAAACGTTTTCAATCTCAGACAGAAATCGCTTTTGAAAATGCGTTTGGTAGTTTTATCAAGAGATTATTTTCAGTGTAAAAAAACCCATTAATATCTTTGTTTCTATCTCTCTCTGCTCGAAAGAGGAGAAAACGAAAATAAAAAATGAAAAATGACTAAAAGTCGTTTTTCATTTATCTCTCATTTTACATTAAACTAAAAAATCATTTTTTTTTTATTTTTTTATTTTTATTGCGCAAAATGCTATTTTAAAAACATTTTTATTTTTTCTTTCTAAAAAAATATCAAAAATAAAAATAAGATTAATTCTAAATACGGTCATAAAGAAGAAACCTGAAATAAACCTAGAAAGATGCACATATATATATATATATGCACTGTATATATCATTATTGTCACATACTGAATGTATACGTGATACGAAGTTAAATCAATCTTTCACATTTCATGATTTTTTTTATTATTTTTTTTCATGAGTTGGTCGTTGAAAACTACGCTATTAAATTTGAGACGGTGAGCATACAAGTTAGAGCCCAATTAGGTGTGCTAACTAACCAAAATGTAAAAAGTGAGTTGACAGTTGAAAAGGTAGACCCGTAGTGTCAGTGGGGTCAGTGTCTATTTCCAGGTAACGGGCTCAAACGGCTCATCTCGGTCCCGTTTAATTTATTGATTTGAGTTAAGATATAATTTTATACAAGAGTTTTTTACTGTAATAAAAAAATTAGATGTAACTGTTTCTAAAAACTTTTTACTGTAGCAAAACTCGAATTGGTGAAGTGAACGGGGCCTTGTCCAATAAGAATTGTTTAATTCGTTAATTTAAATTTTTAATTTGAGTTGAGATGTGATTTTATGTGAGAATTTTTTATTTTAATAAAAAAATTAAATTTAATTATTTTTAAGAGATTTTTACGATAATAAAACTCAAATTTATAAAATAAACGAGACCTAAGTGTTCAAGTTCAACAAATCCTTTGCTTACCAGACCCATACAAACACGTCTCTTTTCACTCCTAATCTTTTTACGGAGAACAATACCCTTTACAACACTTTTTTTTTAACGAAAAAGTTAGTTCATTAATCTGAATGCATTAGTACAAATGACCTTTAATTATATGAGATAATACTCTTAATCTCAACCGGCTCCATCAGTAAAATATGCTGAAGTTCGAGGATAAATATTTATACCGAGACCCAACGACAAAAAAATTCCTTAATACACTAATAATAGAGCACATTTACATGACATATTTTGACTCGTGAAGTCGTTTACTTAAACTCGCTTTAAATAAGGTAGATTAAAAGCTCATCCTTTTAATTTAAAGTTTTAAAAATATATGAGTAATTTGCGTATTTGAGATAAAAGATAAATTCACGGTAATATTGAGCTCTAAATTAAATTAAAAAACCAAATAAATTTGAGTGCTCCACACTAATGCTAAACCCTGCCTAACAAGTAACAACTTGCTCCCATAGGGACTTTCAAGGCTTTATATTTATTGGTTATGATAATTAGGACTAATCAAAATTATCTTAAAATAAAAAAAAATGTGTAGAATAATAACCCTGTTTGTTTCATGGACTCGAATTACTGTTCAAACTTTTTTACTATAATGTTTTTTTTCATAAAATTTAAATTTTTGTTCAAACTTTTTTGTTTAAGTTTATGAATCAAACCGACCCTTATTATTTATATAGATCGAACGGTTGAACAACAAAATCGTACTAGGAGTTGGTCCTAGCAAAGAAACCTCATTGCCATAATCCCATCTTGAGGCATTTATTATGTGGTAATTTTAAAAGTGGAAATGAGAAAATTCTCATGTTTGGTACACTTATTGAAACTGAAGTCTATTGGTTTCACTTCCCTAGAGAAGTGTAATTCACTTTCGCAGGAAAGTGAATATAACGAGAAAAAAAAAAAAGAAATTCACAACCCTAACTCCTTACTCATCTCTTCCAAGTTCCAAGCTCCTATCTCAACTTGCTGCAGCCTCCCTTCCATTCACCACGCCGTCACCGCCGTTGACGGTCTTCCGTCCACCGTGCTGCCATTACTGGACTTTCTTGTGCCGTCACCACCATTTTTAGAGTATGCTTTTTGTCTTCCTTTTAATTTGTAGATTATTCTCTGAAAAATGTTTCAGGGTATTCTAAAATTCTTCTAAATGAATAATCTAGTACTTTTCCATTGAGTAAATATTGTTTATCTAAATTATAAGGTGATGCTATTCACGGCACAACACACTTGAGAAGACACTTCGAAAAGTTTCTTCAAAAGCATTGCTAGTCCGATGGAGTCGAACTCCGCCAAACACAATTATCTTTTGATCGCGCAACTAATGGTCTAACTACTTGGAAATACGATCCGCAAGTAGATCGTATGGAAGTTGTGTGAATGATAGCTACATTAGATCAATCACTTAGTTTTGTAGAGCATCCTAATTGACAACGATATATTAAAGTTGTACATAATCATAATGCACAGTTCACTTCAAAAACTACTCTTAGAAAAGATTTGTTAAAATTATTTAAAAAATAAAAAGAAGCATTAATAAACCTTTTACATCCGACTAGCGGTTGCGTTGCGTTGCATTAATAGCATATATTTAGTTTGCCATTGCTAATAAAGATTATTTAACTGTAAACAGACATTACTTTAAAGGATTCGATTTAGATAAGAGAATATTAGGTTTTAAATGTGTTTTAGGATCACATAGCGCCGATTTAATATATAATATAATTTTAAATGTAATTGATGAATTTAGATTACAAGATAAAGTAATGGCTATAACATTAGATCATGCTAGTGCAAATACTAAAGCAATTGAGTACTTCGAAAATGATTTAAGTTTATTCGGTAATGGTACTATTTTCCACCAACGTTGTGCATGCCACGTAATTAGTTTAATAGTTAAATCCGGTTTAAAATAAATGGGTACTCACATTAAAATAATTAGAGATAGTATTGCATGGATTCAAGGTAGTAACCAAATAGAACAAGATTTGTTTAGGTTCTTACAAGCATTAAATCTACCTCCTAGAGCATTAGCCTTAGATATGCCTGTAAGATGGAACCCACCTTATATTATGCTTCAACAATGCATCCCCTATAAGGATGTTATAACAAACTATATCTGTGTAAAATTAGGAACATGACATATAGACGCATATGATTAACAAATTGTTGAAGTTTTGTATCAATTTTTAGGTAGATTTCATGAAGTTACTTTAAAATTTAGTATAACATATTACCCAACATCACTTTTAATTTTAGGTGAACTTTTAAGAATTAGTAATTTATTTAGTGAATATAGGGCGGACCCAATCTTAAGAGTTCTTATCGCTTCTATGGAAAAGAAATTTAAAAAATATTAGTCTAACTTACATTTGTTGTATGGTTTGAGTATTGTTTTTAATCCTAGATTAAAATTATACGGTTTAGAAAGTAGTTTAGAAAACTTAGGTTAATTTTTAGGCATCAATTGTTATGACCAATTTCTAATAATAAAGACAAAAATATTTTCGATCTATAGTAAATATGAGAATAGGTTTAGAAATATAAACTTTGGAGTACATGAACCACAACAGCAAGATGAAAACCCGCATTCATTCTTGAATGTTTTCGGGTTGAAGAAGAAAAAGACAATGACGACTCAAACAGAAGTTGAGAGTGAATCTTCATCAACAGGTGGCAGCGGCAGCGGCGGCTTCAACGAGCTTATGGCGTACCACAGTGAGAGCTTAGTAGTTGACGGTACTAGAGAATCGTTTGATTTAGTTCAATAATGAAGGGCATGAGCATTAACTTGGGCGTGCCGAATCTGATACTATTACGGGCTGGACCGGGCCGTCCATGGATGGCCCAACCCATTTGACAACACTAGGTAGGTGGTGTTGCTCTTTTCCGAAGTTCTCTTTTCTTGCTTATCCTTTTTATTCTTTTTTTTATCCGTTCATTTTACTGATTTGAGTTATTATTTTTTAAAATTTTTTACTATAATAAAATTTAAATTTTATTACAGTAAAAAAATTTTAAAAAATAATTATATTTAATTTTTTTATTATAATAAAAAAATTTTATATAAAATTATATTTTAACTCAAATTAAAAATTTAAATCGGTAATATATTACATATGAATTGGAATTAAAAATTCGAATCAAGCATTTCACAGAGGGGCAAAAAATCATCAATACCAACATCAGCAAGAACTCCTTTCCTGTGCAGAAATTTTGAACAATCGAAACTCCGAATAGTAATCCTTTCCTTGGTCAGCGCCAAATCGCCGGGGCTCCTCTTCCCATTCAGGCGGCGTCCACCGACAGTCTCGGATTGGTGTTGCAAGATCTACGCCCCGATCTCCGATTGCGTCTCCGCTTCTCGACCGCCGTAACGCGGTCGTCTTCTCCACCTCCTCCGAGCTTCTTTGTCTTCGCCTTTTGCCGACATTTGGCCAATCTCTTGCCGGTGAACGATTTCGGAAATCGTCCGACGGTCCGATCGCTTTTGCCGGTGAAGGAAAGTTCTTTGGTTTTTGGTTTTTGTTTTTACTTTTTTCCCTCATTGTGGACTTTCATCGAACACCTGGCGAGCTTCACCTCTTCTCTTCTTTGAGAACATCACACGTGGTATAACCCAGAATCCCATTTAGCCCACGTGTCGCTGAGACCCCACCCCCTTCAAAGTCCATAGCTCCTTTTCTCCTCCTCCATCTGATTCTGATTCTTCACCATCAAAATCCCACCTTAAAACACTACAAATTACCATAAGAAGGAAAAAAAAAAAAAAAAAAAACCCAATGCAACGCCTCAATGTCCAGAGAAGTAAAACAATCTTGTCCAATCTCAGAAGGAGCCTCCACCAAAAGCCCGACTTCGAAAAAGTGGGATCCTTGGCCTCCCTCCTCGATTCCCGGTCTGTCGTCCGCTTCCGAGGCCCCGACACCCTGAAGTTCCTCCAGGGCCTCCTCACCAACGACGTCGTTCGGGGATTCGGCGGCGTCGGAGGCGAGGCACGGGCTCCGCTCACCCCTAACTTGGCGGTGGCGTCCGTACCACCTATGTACGCGGCCCTTCTGACGCCGCAGGGCAGGTTCCTGTACGACTTCTTCCTCTACCGCCCGCCCACGCCCCGCGAGAAGCTCGACCCGAGTGGCTCCCGACCCGGTTCGGACGACCCGGATGCGCCGTTTGAGCTGTTGGCTGACGTGGACGCCTCCGTCGCTGATGAGCTCTTGAACACATTGAAGAGGTGAGCTTTGAGCTTTTCTGATTCTGCAAACATATACACACATATGAAATGCTTGGTTTTATGAAGCATTTCTCTTGTTTCTATGCTAATTTAGTTAGTTAGGTAGTTAGCTAGTTTTCTTTTTTTGTTTTTGTTTTTTTCAGCGAGTAATGTGTGTAATTGAAGTGTTAAAAGTGTACGAAGTTGCTTTACAACACCAATGTACTTTTTTTGTTTGAAAGATTTTTTTGGCTTTTAACTTCTAGTTCCACTTTAACAGTAAACTATGATCCTAAACTGAACAGTGTACGTGAATGTAGGAGATGAAGCTTTTTTCTCTGGTGGGATTTTTTTTTTTTGCTTCTTTAATTTTGTTACATGTGGTTAGTCATAACCCCATTTATTGTCTGACTGATGTTGCAATAATTAGAACCCTTATTTGGTTTCATGTTTTTGCTCTTCTTTGGACATTGGACTAAGCTAACCCTTCAATCTTCTAGGATCAAATGTGTTGTATCATGGCAACGAACGCTTTCGCAATGTATGTCGACTAACTAGTATGCACTTCTGTTTGTGTATTTATTTCCTTTTTTCTTGTGAAGATATCGGTTGAGGTCTAAGGTTGAGATTGAAAATGTGGGGCAAGACTTCTCCTGCTGGCAGCGTTACGGAGGGAACCTTTCCAAAACTCCCCCACATGTAAAAGAACCTGAGGCTGCTAGCGTCGGCTGGGGCTCTGGCGTTGACCCTGCTGCGGTGTCGTCTTCTCGCGGGAATAATCATGGTTGGCAGTGGTTTAAAGATCCTAGATTAGATTGCCTTGGTTTTAGGGGGATTTTTCCTTCCAATACAACTCGTGAGATTCTAACACCTTCAGTGCTTTTATCATTCATTTTGTGCAAACTAAAAGAAGAAGTGATGTGAGATATGAGGATTAAGAAAATAATTTGGTTTGGCTTGTTGCAGCACCTTTGGTTGAAGCTGATAAAGAAACCGATGAAAACAATTTTGTATTGTGGAGAATAGAAAATGGACTTGCGGAAGGCTCAACTGAGATCCCAAAAGGTGCAACTTTACTTCCTTGGCATTCCCCTATTGCAAAAGTATCTTTCTTATAGAATGCAAGCCGCAGCCTTATGATATATTTGACATGGTTGTCATATATATATATATATATGTACTATATTCATATATATATGGACGGTACCTTTGCTATAATTTTTGCTCATCTTTTTAGTTACCATTTGAAACTATATTTTTTGAAGGAGCTTAATGGGAACAAAATGGTAATAAATTTTGAAATTACATCTTTTATGGATTTAGCTAGAAGTAGTTTTTGGACCTACAAAGGGAAGGGTAACTTTCACGAAGTTATGTCAAACATGCCTCGAATCTAATCAGTTGTATACGTATAAGCCAAGATCAATTTCTGGTTATTTGCACTGTGGTGAAGAATGCTCTTGTCATGTGTAGGTGAGGCAATCCCTCTTGAATACAACTTGGTGGGTCTAAACGCAATAAGCTTTGACAAAGGTTGTTATGTTGGCCAAGAGCTTGTAGCTCGGACGCACCACCGTGGGGTCATTCGCAAACGTTTACTTCCTTTAAGATTTGTTGACAACAATGGAGAAGGTATGATCTCTGTAGCTACTTCCTTCCGTTCAATTTCTGTCCTCTTCTGAACAGCGTTAATGTTCTTCCTTTTGTTCACTCAGAAGTGGAGCAGAGAGTTTCTCCTGGATCAGAAGTTGTGGATCCCGAGTCTGGCAAGAAAGTCGGCACTGTCACAACTGCACTCGGGTGTCGGGGACTGGGCGTCTTACGCCTGGAGGAAGCCCTCAAACGGTCAGGTGGATTGAGCGTACGAGGACAGAAGGATGTGAAGGTTGAGACTTCAAGACCAGATTGGTGGCCAACTGAATGGTTTCAAGAATATCAGCAGCACTCTGCAGTTGCTTAAATAAGCTTCAGTTTTGCTGAATGATTTTGTCTTGTTTCTTTCATTCTTTACTCTAGTGGCAACCCAAAAATAAGTGTAGGCTCAAAAGAAAGAGAAAATGGAATAAAAGGAAGTTAATAAAGCAATCTACTTGTATAATGTTCTCACAAATTTGTTTATTTCTCTACATTTGATTGTTTTTCACGTTTTCTTTTCTTCTTTTTAATTCCTGCCATAGAGAGCTTTCGCTGAACTTGTTTATTTGGTCTTCTCTATGTGGATTTGTGAATGTATAATTTTTTTTTTCTTATTTGCTTGAAGGGAGTCGTTAATTTTGTTGCAAGGTTTCTAAGTGGTCGTTTTAGGATTCTGTCGTTTCTAGGTGGTCGTTCTCGGAGGTTTTCTGTTAGGTTTTCTTATCTAATTTTTTTTTTTTATACTTTGTGCTGACTGATGGTTTTGTGGTGGAAGTGTGGCAGATGGACAATAATGGTTGCCGGCAATATTGACGATGGAAGAGTTTGGTTTTGTTTTTGTTCTGTTTTTTTCTTTTTTTTTTTTTTAATTTTTTTCTTTTGAGGGTGTTTTGGTCCTCCCACTAAAGAAGATTTTTAAAACTTAAACGGATTTTGGCGGAAAAGATTTGATTGTCAATGTTTTGAGAATTTGGAGATTGTTTTGCCAAAATTAAAAGAATAGGGACAAAAGTCACCTATATCAATTACCTTTTCCCTTCTTTTTATCGTGTTCTGATGACCGTCGTTTTTCGGGTTGTCATTTTCAATGTTATATTGTTTTTTTTATATACCAAAAACGTCGTTTCCGTATTAGTTGTCTACCAAAAAAGTCGTTTTCGTATTAGTTGTCGTTTTTATGGTATTATTGGTTGCAGGTGACCTGTTTCTTCGTCATACGACTATCTCCTTCATTGCAGATTCTATCTTCTCCTCGTTTCCGACTCCCATTGTCGTTTTACGCTTGCTGTCGTTTTCCGTTGTTGGCGTTTGAAATTATAATTGTCGTTTTTCAACTCATTTCTATTTTCTTTGCGAAGATTATCAAGTGTCGGCGAGAAAATATTAACCGTCAACGAGAAAAACAGTAAAACTAGAAAAAATATATGCGAACCATCATTTCCTTCGATGACTGATAAGCTTCACTAAGGATCACTTCAATTAAAACCGCATCAAAATAAATAACAAAACTACGTACTTTGAAGAAAATACTGCTGTTGATCATTACTTTAGAATTCACAAAAATTTAGAATATCAGGGTTCAGTCTCAGCCAACTTACAATAAATAAAATTATTACAAACAAATCACCGGAAAGTCAATTGTGCCACCAAGAGTTTCCCCTTTGCCATTCTCCAATCTACACAGGAACTGGAGGAAACTTGTATTAGTTACTTCTTTCTCTTCCTGGGTCTGCCTCAAATCTCCAGAAAAGCCACAAGTTTACATCACTAAGAAACAAATCCTTCATTAAAGACGTGATCTTGAGAGACTTCATATATAATCTCCTCTCAGAGCACCATCACAGGCAAACTTCTTCACATCTGAAAAGGAAAGTTTTATAGTAGGCAAAGTTTCTTTCACTACCGGTAGTTTAGGCTTTTTTAGCAGTTTGATTAATTTTTCAACGGTTTGATTTATGAGTGGGAGCGCTTTAGTGCGGTGCAAATTTTTAATGTGGATACTGATATATCAGACTAAACCCAATGGCTTAAAGAGCCTGGTGAAGAAGAGCATTCCTTACCATAAGAATATCCATATAAAAATTAAGGTTCGGTCATCCTATACAGTTCCTGGATAACTTCCTCCACAGTTGGCCTTTCCTCGGGAACCTCATGCGTGCAAGTTAAGGCGAGTTGGCCCAGCTTGGCTGCTGCGGACTCAGAGAACTCTCCTTTTAGCTTGGCGTCCATGAAGTCTTCGAAACTTCCAGATTTTGCGCCCGTTCGCATTGAGTTTGTAAGCATCAACTGTCCAGATAAAACTTGCAGGACGATGACTCCAAATGCGTAGATGTCGCTCTTCTGTGTGAAGCGGCCTGTGGTGATGTACTCCGGGGCTAGGTATCCCATGGCGGCGCTCGTCTTGAGAGCTGAGAAGACAATGTCATTGGCGAGAAGCTTAGGAAGCCCCGAATCAGAGATCAATGGGTCGAACTGCTGGTCGATGAGAACCTTCTCGGCTGATATGTTTTGGTGGACTATGGCAGGTCTGTTTGCTTCACTGCTGTGTAAGTATTGAATACCTGCTCAAGGAACAACAATTATTAGTTCTAAAGGTTGACAATGACCAAGAAATTAACTAGAAAAAACTTGAAAATGACTGTGAAAGTGCATACAAAAGCACTTTTGTATACTTTTACTAAACACACTGATTGCGTTGTTTAATGTACAAAGTAGCAATCCTGAACCAGCCCTTTTATAGAAAAACTTGAAACTTGATTATAGAAATCAACAGACCTTTTGCAATGCCACTGATGATCGTGACTCTCTTAGACCAACTAAGAACTCCGTCGCTTCCTTCTTCTAAATCAAGATACCGAGAGAGGCTTCCATTGGGAGCGAAATCATAGATGAGAAAGCACTCACCTCTGCTCCTTGAGCAACAGAAACCTCTCAGCTTAACAAGGTTCTCATGTCTCAGTGAAAAAAGCAGGTTCAGCCCTCTCAAAAACTCGTCTTCCTCGGACTTACAGCTCGTGACATTAAGGCTTCTGATAGCCACAACAGAACCATCTCTCAAAACCCCTTTATAGACAGCAGAGAATTTGCTCTTCCCTAGTAAATTCACGTCAGAAAAGTACTGTGTTGCAGACTCAATATCCTCCATGTTGAACTTCTTGTTGTTAAGATATTCCTGAGACAACCCAATTCCCTTTAGACCATCACCTAATGGATCCCACCCATTGCAGTACTCAAGGCTCACAAGTGGGGAGGCACTCTTGCTCCGAAACTCCTTAGCCTGGTCGATGCTAAGACGGCCGTCTGAAGGATCACAATGGTTTCCAATCTTCTGTTTTTGCCGCCGGTACCTTATGATGATAAGAAACACTATTGCTATCATACTTATGGTGACTGCAATCACCACTGCAACAACTGCAGCCAGCGAAAACCTTGTCGACCTAGCACAATGCGCTCGGTTGCAAGTTGAATGGAAGTTTGCGGACTCGGGGTTTTGTGTTGGACCATCAGTGGCATTTCCATTAGATCCACTAGGGCCAAATACACCAACATCCATATTATAATTGTCAAAAGATGTGCAGGCTCTCAATTTAGCAAACCCAACTCCACACAAGCTTGGATTGTTCTCAGCATGAAATCCCTCATTTAATCTCCTCAGACCTTTATGTTTCAATGTTTCAGAAGTGTAATTAGAATAGCAGAAAACAAGACAAGGAACCAAAAAAAAAAAAAATCCTTTTGATATGTTTTTTTATTACACTTTAGTAGAAGGATAGTGGATGAGTAAATGTACTTACCAGGAGGGACAAATCCAGAGAGAGAATTGTTTTTGAGGTCTAGGACTTGCAATGATTGAATAGTACCTAGTGTTGTGGGAATTTTACCAGAGAGTGTGTTGAAGCTCAAATCAAGCCTTTTGAGTATCCCAAGATTTCCTAAGCTTGGAGGGATTTCACCTGTTAGTTTGTTGTACTGTAAAGCAACAACACTTAGCTTCTTCAACAACCCCATCTCGGTTGGTATTTTTCCACTCAGCTGGTTACAACATAGCTGTAGAACTGCAAAAGAAAAGAAAAAAGGAAAAAAAAAAATAAAATTGAAGTGTCAAAGCTGAGTTTAAAATATTAAACACCGCAAAACTGAAGATCTCCCTTTTTTTTTTCTTTTTTGTAGTGTAAGGACTTGGGAAACAAAGAACCAGAGATTTATATCCATTCTTTTGAGCAAATTTCAGGAAATTAATTAATTTGAAAATTAATTCCTAGTAATTGTCTTGTTGAATGCTACCAAAGGCAAGAAAACTTGGGAAAGATCTAACCAAAAACTTGAATTTAGATTAGACAACATCTTCACCGAAGAGAAGAGAATGTTCGAATAAGGAAAAAGCTTCTAAAAGTTCATCTTTTCCTTCATTTTTGCCAGCTTTGTCAGCTCAAATATGATCCTGACATCTTCATGCTAATTGATAACAATTAATGATATTAATTAGAAAGAAAAGAATGTCAAAATCTGCATGCTGAAAAGAAAGAAATTCAGTTTACTCAGCAAGCACTAGCCAAAAAAAGGGGTCACATTACTAAGAAACAAATTTGGAGAAGTTACCTTGATATCAGTTAATCACATCAAAACTTGAAAAAAATATACAAATATACGAAGTCTGAAAATTATTGTGAAAATATATGATTCAAAATTATGCATTGAGAGTCCTTTTTCTTCTTCTTCTTCTTTTTACGTATTGACCAAAAATTTCTCCAAACAATGCTCGCACGACCAAAAACTTTTGCAGCATTAACTTGTTATGCTCCACACCAAAAAAAGAAAAAAAAAAAAAAGGAACTAACCTTGAAGACTTGCCATTTTACCGATCTGAGAAGGAATATCTCCAGAGAGATTATTAACATTGAGATAGAGATCAGTGAGCTCAGTAAGATTGGAGAGTTCTCTCGGAATCTCTCCCGACAAGTTGTTGTAGTGCAAGTACAGACCCGACAGGCACCGGAGCTCGGCCACCGCCGACGACAGCTTGCCGGAGAGCCCTTTTCCCTGCAGAGAAATGTTAGCCACTTTGTGGTGTTCATTGCAAGCCACACCTTCAAATGAGCCACTACACGGTTCGCCATCTTTGGTCCATGAGCTCAGGAACTTGTTCTCTGGGTCCAGAGACGATTTCAGCTCCATTAGAGCCTCAACCTCCGCATTTCCGTAAACACGACTTGGGTTTGAGAAGAAAGCCAGGAAAAGAGTAATTGAAACGAGAAAATTGAGATGAATCATTTTGGGCTTTGAGATAAAAGGTGTGATCTTTTTTATGAAAGTTTCGTTCTTTGATAAAAGATTATCTTCTTTGCTTAGAGTGAGAAAGCGGGAAGAGAGAGAAAACCCGTGTTTGTTTAGTTACGTTCTTTCATATTCTTGTTAAAAGGTTTGGAAAGAGTTGTAGAAATGAGAAAATTAAAAGAAGACCCGTTGCTGCAACGAGCTTGAAAAGAGTGTGTTTTTTTTTTTTGTGTGAAAGTTCAGCTCTTTCTTGTTTTCTGTTTAAAAAAGAAGTTTGTTAGTGTTGAGTTCTCGAGTTCTTGTTTGAGTCTTTGGTTTGGAAATTTTGTGTGAATTTTTCTGGGAAGAAAGAGAGAGAAGAGAATACGTGTGAATTGTGGAATGTCACTTTTTTTGGCTTCTGGGTTGGTTTGGGTTGCTGACAGAGAGTGTTCACACTCTGGCTTTTTGGGACAATTAGATTTCAAGCTTGTTGTACGCTGACACCGCTCAAATCTCAATTGTTTAATATTAATTAATATAATATATAAATTATTATTTTTTATTAATAAGTGTTTAAAATATTATTAAATTAATTAATAACAAAAAATTATATCTATTAATAAAAAAAAACAACAATTAACATAACACATTAATTAGCCTACAAAATTTGAGATTCCTGGTGGCTGCTATGAAGATTTGGGATGATTTTCAGTCTTTGATTTCAAAAGGTTGCTTTGACGATTTTGAGTCCATTTGGTCACGTGGGTCCCACCAACCCACCGGCATGACTGGGCCTTTTCTTCATTTATAATAGCATTGAAGATATTGGGGTCCAGATTCCAGCCTCTGGACAAAATTTTATGGGATTGGGACTGGATTTTTTTTTTTTTTTGTTCGTTTTGTTGATTAATAGGACGTCTCTTATTGCTATTGTTTAGTGTTTCCAAATGTTAAATTATAGAAATGACATTAAAATTAAAAATGAAAATTAGTTGCACGGTATAATTTAACGCCTCTACACTTGAAAAACACAAAACTTGTTTTATCAAATTCAGGTCTTGTTTATTTTACCTATTTGAGTTTTATTACAGTAAAAAATTCTTAAAAATAGTCACATCTAATTTTTTTACTACAGTAAAAAGCTCTCACATAAAATCACATCTCAACTCAAATTAAAAACTCGAATCAGCGAACTAAACGGGCCTACATAATTATTTGCATAAAAAAATGGGGACAAATGTTTTGTAAACCGCAGGAGTCATAATAAGCTATTATTTTTGTATGCTAGGCTTAAAAAAGTGAACTTTATAAATGTTTTGTCTCTGCATGCTCATAATATCTCTTAGAAGTATGATTGGAGTAATCTATCAGTTGTTCGCATCTCAATTGAAGAAGAAAACCCCATGAGAAAAAAAAAAAAAAAAAAAAACTTTCAGGCGCATTTAAAAAGGAAGAAGAAGAAGATTTCACACACATCAGAAAGTGTAAGTCAATAATATTATTCCAAATTTGAAAAAAAAAATCAAGTTTTCGGTTCTTTTTTTTTTTTTTTTTTAAATTGTCTTAAAAGAGACTCACAACTATTGATTTAGATTGTGGTCTTATACCGTTGCGACTTCCATAATTTTTTTATTTTTAATTTCAACATACCAATTTGGAATAAATAATGAAGACATCGTTTATTTCACCGATTTGAATTTTCAGTTTTAGATTTTTAGAGTTAAAAACTCTCAGAAAATGTGACATCTAACTTCTTCTGTTATAGTTAAAAGTTTTAAAAAAATGTCGCATCTCAATTCGAATCGAAAATTTAAATCTGCAAAACGAACGAGACCAAAGTGTTTCTTAGCCACGCATATACTTGCTGACATTTTTTTATCTAAAATCTGAAAAGTCTTTTGGGTGGGAAACCTAACTCTGCCTCGCATAACACACTATATTCCACATGGGGTTGACTGTTTTCATGTCCCATTGGGAAAAATAAACATTGAATAAGACACAGAAACCAGTTTTATTAGGAGGAAAAAAAAATTGGTGATTTTGAATTGATGCCGTTCCTACTTTCTACCTCACATATTGTCCAACGAGTAAGCCAAATTTTTTCTTCAGACAAAATTCATTTAAATCAACCAGTTTATTATACTTTTTCAAGTAGTGGGTGGAAAACAATATTATGCACCACTTTCTCCTTGGATTCCTTTTGTTGGTAACTAAATTATAGCATATAGTATGCAAGCAGGAAAAAACAAGTACAAATATATAGTAACTCTCCCTAATTAAGCTCATTTTAATAATAATACCACTATTAATTATTAATAATCCTCTTCTCTATTGGGGGAGCAGGTTCCAAACCTTTTACCTTTGTCTAAAGAATTCATGATGCTTTTGACGAATTTGACTTATGCGATGGCTCTTATAGTAAATTATCAGCATTATCATTGGGTAGTTACATACTTGACTTGGCAATAATTCAACATCCACTTTCAATATTGAGGTATATAATTCAAAATTCCCGCCGGTTATGTTAAAAATTAAAGAAGATAAAATCAACATTAGTACTGTTGTAGTAAACTGAAAATGTAGCAACAACAGCAGTATTACTAATTCTATTATTACATAGAAGTAAATCTATAGATATGTGATGGCAAAAGGAGAAGTAGTCTTATTTTTTTGTGTCACTTATCATGAAAAAAGATGCACAACTTTAAGCTTGTCTTTGATAGAAGAAGCCAAGGAGCAGATTAAAAGCCAAAAAAAAAGAGGGGCAAAAAAGTAGATGGAATCATGGAATTGGCATTAATGAAAATGTATTGTACTATTGAATCTTCAATCATGGTGCACTATAAAAAGCAAGTTGGTAAACTTTTATTTGAACAGGAGAGCACCAAAAAGTTTAGTGTACCTTCATTTTCAAAGCAACAATACCACTTTTATCACTACCAAAGTGGGGCATATAAGTGGAGGCTAATGACAAAGGATAAATGAAAAAAAAAAAAAATCTATTTTTTAAACTACTGATAGAGTAAATTTTATTGTTTTTATTTATGAATATGCATGTTAAGAACATGGGAATATACGACACGAAAATGCTGCAACTCGTAAATTATATTGAAAGTTATGATTAATAAATAAATAAAAAAAACTTGTTTGGGCACGTAGAATTGTTGAAAAATGGAAAATAAAAATAAAATCAAAGAGAAGAAGACGACGCAATTGTGACAAAGAAAGTGATGTCATTTGATTGAAATAGGATTGTGTTTGTTATGTTCAAGACCTCCTCCCCGCCATTTACGACTTGATTAAATATAGAACCAAAAAAAGAAGAAGAAAAAAGGAAAAAGAAGGTACTTTAGCACTATCAAATTCTGTACGAAGAGAAGTCCAATGAATGAATTTAAGAAAACTTTTTTTTTTCTTTTTTCTTTTTTTGTATTCAATTGGCTCCTTTTGCAAAAAATATTACTTTATTTTGAATGCATGATCCCGTTCACTTCGCTGATTCGAGTTTAGAATTTGAGTTTTGTTACAATAAAAAATTTTTAAAAACAGTCACATCTAACTTTTTTAGTACAGTAAAAAGCTCTCACATAAAGTCACATTTTAATTCGAATTCTAAACTCGAATCAGCGAAACGAACGAGCTTTAAGGACAAAAAAAAAAAAAAAAAAAAAAAAGGTTACATATATACAATACACATGAAGAGAAAGAAGACTTTTTTCTTTTGTTTCTCTTTCTTTCTAGAATTCTTTGTGTGAGAATGACGGGTAGCTAACATTTATCGGATTGTGTTTCTGCTTAAATTCATCGTTTACCTTTATTTTTTTTTCTTATATTTTGGTCATAATCACTTTAAAGCTTGCAGGGCATGTATTATAATTATTTTGTCCTCATGCTGAGATGCTCAAATCTCTTTAATTCTCTCCCTTTGTGGACGCCTAAATGATGGATATCATATGCTGTCTATAATGTTCCTTAGATTTTAAAGAAAAAGAGTTAAAAAGCACATGTTACTTTGCTTTTTTCATAAAGTAAATGTGTAGAAGATGTAAGCAATTAGTGACTATTAAACAATAAAAACGGCAGCAATATATATATATATATATATGTGTATGTATGTATGTATAAGAGTAGTGATTTGAGTTCTTCTAATCTTAATTAATAGAATTGATATGGGCCATATTTAAAGTCTCCACAAATTGAAAACAAAACGGAAAAAACCCTACAGAAGAAATTTGGAACAATATTACTTTTACTTTATACTTTTTAATCTTTATAACAGTCTTGCGATCATTATAAAGCAATGGTTTTTGACCGTTTTCTCGGATCCTTAGGTTATAGATCATAATCGGATTAGTAATGTGGCCAGAAATATTTCCCAGGAACAAGTATTGGCCAAAAGAACTTTCATATATGTGGTTATTTTGTGCTGAAAATGAGCAGGAAATAATTAAAAAAAAAAAAAGAGGAATATTGTAGTAAAAATCAGCAAAAGTTCTATATACTCTAATTTGGTTACAAGTATACAATTTTAAAAGTAAAGCAGGCTCATTTAAAAAACTGCTAAATATGCCGTGCCATCTTTTTTTTGTTTTTGTTTTGTTTTTTTTTTTGGCCAAAGCTTGAAATTAACCAATAAATCTACACTTTCTAAGTAAAAGCTCGTCTAATATTATTCACAAGAGGGGTTATATTTGCACCCATAGAATTTATAAATACACCACAATTAATTAATGTTTCTTAATATATATTTAGAAAAATCTATCCTTTTGTAGATACTTCTTATATGATTTATAATTTAACCCTCATATACACCCCCCACCCCCACCCCACCTGAGATTTTCATTTTAATTTTATCTTGTTTTATAAAACAATATTTTTTTTTTTGAAAAGGAATAAAAAATAATTAATCAATCTTAATAATAATAAAAGCTTTTCTCATTAAAAAAAAAAAAAAAAAAAAAAACTCCATTTGCCAACTTACGTTATACAAGCGTGGGACAACGAATGAGCTTTGAAAACAAAAAAACAAAAAACAAAACAAAAAACCAAACAAACAAACAAATGAGTTTTGAACATGGGGTGATTCCTGAACGTGGGGTTATGATTTTTTTTTTTAAAAAAAAAAAAATTGATGTAGTTTTGTGAGAAACATATATGCAATGTGGGTGTTTTCTCCTACACAAAAAAAAAAAAATATGGGTGTATTCTTATTATGGTTTTATTGTAATTTTACTAAAAGTTGAAATTGTAGAATTAAATATGATAATTTAGTAGGTGCAAATATAATTTCCCTATTCACAAAGATGGACAGTAAAACTGCTGCTCAAATCACAATCAACTATGGGCTCAAAAAAGCTAAGCATATCATGCTCTAAATACGAGAACAGAGAATTAAGAAGGTAAAAAACTGAAGTAGCATGCATGAAAGTGAAGATCTTTTACTTGTAAACCAAAATGACTGAAGTGAAGCCCCATTTTAGCCATTATTGGGAAGCTATTTTTGCAACAGATTTGCCAACTTTTTACAACATGGCCATCTTTTTTATGGGTCTTAATGGGATTATGCATTCTCATGGCCCTCAAATCTTAAGTCGGCCCATTACTCTACTGTCTAACTGTCAAATAGCAAATTGTTTGAAGTTATTTTTAGAGTGTGTGGGTCTGAATTTTTATTTTTTAATATTAATTAAATTTTTTTTGATTAATATAGTTATTTAACTAAAATGATATTAATCAAGAGTAAGAGGTAAAAATCTAGACTCATGCACCCTAAAAAGTATTTGTCTATTTTTTCCTATTATGAAATCTTAAGTTGGCCCATTACTCTACAAATTCTTGGGTGTATACGTCTGAATTTTTACTTAATATCATTTTTAGTCAAATAATTATATTAATTAAAAATAAGAGGTAAAAATTTAAATTCATACACTCTAATAATAAGTTCAAGAATTTTCTCTATTCAATTGGGAATGCCCCGTAAAAGTTTATGGTGTTTTTGAAACATTATAAATTTCTAGGGGGCAGATTGATTAATTTTCTCATTATATTCTTTCACATTTCATCGTGATACCTCTTAAAGTGTCATGGTTCGGATATCTTCAATCGCTAGTTGTTAAAATTCTTAGTATCATGGCAAGATACCTTTAAGTATCATAAAAGGATACCGTCAATCGCCAATCGTAAAAATTTTAGCGTTACCGATGGATACCTCTAGTATCACGGTAAGATACCGATTACCGAGGGTTATTGCTAGTATCTTAGTATGATAAAATTAGAAATACATTTGGTATTCTATATATATATTGGCATGACATGACATAACCTTTCAACAAATACTTGTTTTTCTCATCCATTAATCAGTCAAAGGCATGCAATGCACAAGAGCGCTTGGTTCTTGTCTGTAAAATAGGCCCAATACTAATAATTTGAAGACTAAATACGTACCAGTATCACTTTTATGCATAAATTATACTCCTATTTTTTTTAATAAGGGATATATTCAAATACCAATTTTCTAAAATTGCATTTCTTTGATTCACCCATCAAACTTAGACAGGTTAGTCGCTATAAAGAACATCTCAAGTAAGAATTCGTTTGGTATGAGGATTTAAATCAGAATAATTTTAATCATGATTCTAAAACTATAATTATGATTTATAATTTTGAGTTTAAATAATTATTCTGAAACCATGATTCATAATCAGGAGTTTAAATAACCTTGAATCAAGAGGATGATGGTTTTAAAATTATGAGTGATTCTGGTTTAAAACATTACATCAGATTCTGAATCATGATTCAGAATCATAATACTGATTTAGAATCATAATTCAAAATCACTATAAATAAACACTTAAAAATTATAATTTTAGATCTATCTACCAAAGACAATCTAAGATTCTGTGGACAGAATGCACTACAACAAACCCATATATTGATAAATCATATATGGGTTGAAAAGGACGATTGGGCTTCTTATTGATAGGGAAAAGAGAGAGAGAGAGGGAAAAAAAAAGAGAAAAAACAATATAGAAAAAATGGACTTAGGTATTAACAAACTAACGCTCTCAATATAATTAGTTAAATTGACCAAAAAAAGAACAAAAAAAAAGAGTGCCAATAAAGTTCTTGTTAATGTGTATATATATAGAAAAAAAGATAAATATCTTTTTAGAGTACATAAATTTATATTTTTAACCCTTATTTTTATTAATATCTTTTTAATTAAATAATTTTATTAGTTAAAAAAATTAAATAAGAATAAAAGATAAAAATTAAGGGCCGTTTAGTTCGTTGATTCGAGTTTTTAATTCGAATTGAGATGTGACTTTATGTGAGAGCTTTTTACTGTAGCAAAAAAATAAAAATAAAAAAAATAAATGTGACTGTTTTTTAGAGCTTTTTTATTGTAACAAAACTCAAATTTTAAACTCGAATCGGTAAAATGAACGGGGTCTAAAAGTCAAAATAAGTCAAATTTTCTAAAATTGCATTTCTTTGATTCACCCATCAAACTTATCATTAATGACAGGTTAGTCGCTATAAAGAACAACTTAAGTAAGAATTCGTTTGGTATGAGGATTCAAATCAGGGTAATTTTAATCATGATTCTAGAACTATAATTATGATTTATAATTTTGGGTTCAAATCATGATTCTGAAATCATGATTCGAATCAGGAGTTTGAATAACCTTGAATCAAGAGAATGATGGTTTTAAAATCATGAGTGATTCTGGTTTAAAATATCACATCAGATTCTGAATCATAACACTGATTCAGAATCACTGTAAATAAACCAGAATTTAAAATTATAATTTTAGATATATCTACCAAACACAATCTAAGATTCTATGGACAAAATGCACTACAACAAGCCCATATATTGATAAATCATATATGGGTTGAAAAGGACGATTGGGGCTCTTATTGACAGGGAAAAAAGAGACAGAGGGGAAAAAAAAAGAGAAAAAACAATATAGAAAAATTGGACTTAGGTATTAACAAACTAACGCTCTCAATATAATTAGTTAAGGGAGAAAGAGGGAAATAAGTCAAGACTTGAGATGAATTAAAATTAATAGGTTAGTAGTTTACATAAGTTAATAAATAGGCCAAATTACTGTTTTTGTCCATAACTTGTATGGTTATGAACCATAACTTGACAAGTTATTGTCCATAATTCACGATTTTTGTCCATAACATGTCTCGCTATGAACCATAACTTGACAAGTTTGTCCATAACTTATCTGGTTATGAACCATAACTTAATAAGTTATGGCCTATTAATTTCTATAACTAAAAGTTGACCTACATACTTTCTTAAATTTTTTATATTGGCATATTTTCTACTATTTTTGTTAGTTAAATTGACCAAAAAAGAACAAAAAAAAGAGTGCCAATAAAGTTCTTGTTAATGTGTGTATATATAGAAAAAAAAGATAAATATCTTTTTAGAGTACATAAATTTATATTTTTAACTCTTATTTTTATTAATATATATTTAATTAAATAATTTTATTATTTAAAAAAATTAAATAAGAATAAAAGATAAAAATTAAGGGTTCGTTTAATTCGTTGATTCAAAATTTTAATTTAAATTGATATGTATTTTTATGTGAAAATTTTTTACTGTAATAAAAAAATTAAATGTGATTATTTTTAAAAAAATTTTATTATAATAAAATTTAAATTTTAAACTCACGGAGTTTAAGAGTCAAGATAAGTCTAATAATTTAAGGGCCCACCATGTGATCCTGTAATTTCACTGATTCGCAGAGTTTGCAACCCAAGTTCCCAACACATAATACGGGCAGAATTGTTGGACACATGTCATGGGACACACGTGTTTTTGCATAGAGGATTTGATATGATTCCACCAAAAAATTAAATAAAGATTAATAACAAATCTGAGAAAAACAAAAGTGTGAATAGAATCGTTACAAATAGTTGTTGGTCCTTGAAAGGAAAAAGAAAAAAGATTTACCAGATTTCAAAAAAATGCTTCAATGGAAAATCAACACTTTCTTTTTGAAGGAAGCTTCAATAAATATTTACTGCTTTCCAAAATAATGAATTGATAAATATATGATAATATACTCTGCATCTTATGATCTCATAATAAAATAAAATAAAGTTATTAGAGTTATCAACGTTTATTCTTTTACCAATTTAAGATTGTTATTCTTAACTTAAGTGATATTTTCAAATGATATAAATCTCAGAAAAAAAAATATAATGAATATTGAACTACATTTTTCTTAGGTCCTCCGTGAACTAGAAATTATAATACCAGCATTTCAAAAAAGGAAATTACAATAGGGGCAATCCTCACTAAAACGACGCCATGAAAGGCGGCTTCCGAATATGGCTGTCGTATTGTCGTAACGCATTCAAATATCGAGCAAAAGAAAAGAAAACTCCTATTACCTGACACAGTCGCAGAGCTCCACCATTTCCATTTCAGAACCAGATTTCTAGAGAGAGAGAGAGAGCGTTTTCTAGAGCGAGAAACCCGACCACTCACCCGAGAACGCCGGCGAAGAAGAAGAAAGAGAACGACGATGGGCAAGGATCTGAGCGCCGATCAGGTTTCTTCCATGAAGGAGGCCTTCACGCTCTTCGACACCGACGGCGACGGCCGGATCGCGCCGTCGGAGCTCGGGATCCTTATGAGATCCCTCGGCGGGAACCCTACCCAGGCGCAGCTCAAATCTATCATCGTCGAGGAGAATCTATCGGCGCCGTTCGATTTCCCGCGGTTCCTGGACCTGATGGCCAAGCACATGAAGCCGGAGCCGTTTGATCGCCAGCTCCGCGACGCCTTCAAGGTCCTCGACAAGGACGCCACGGGATTCGTCTCCGTCGCCGAACTCCGCCACATCCTCACAAGCATCGGCGAGAAGCTCGAGCCGGCCGAGTTCGATGAGTGGATCCGCGAGGTCGACGTCGGCTCCGACGGAAAGATCCGCTACGAGGATTTCATCGCCAGAATGGTCGCCAAGTGAGGATCCAAAATGGTAGATTCGTTGTGGATTTGATGTAATGCTTTCCGAATCTCTTCCTTTTTTTTTTTAATATATTTCTCCTCTTGTTTCTTCTGCCTTTTAGTGCTTGAAATTAGGGCGTGTCTTTGGATATTCTGTTGTGGTTAATTGAATTCCTCGAGTAATGCTAATTTTGGGGTTTTTTCTTTTGTTCATATTTTATAGCTTAAAATATTGCTTATGTATGGATCGTTTAATCAATTTGTGGTGTTAAAGAGTTCTTGATTTACTGATTGTTTAATGTTTATCCTAATTAAATTAATATGGAACGCTTTTGGGGTTGGATTTGTATGCGGATAATGAGATTAAAAATGTTTGCTTTGGGTTGAGAAATGCTGTTTTTGTGAATTTGATTACGTTTGAGGCTGAAAACGTGGAAGAAATTTACCCCCTTTACTCTTAATATTACTTTTTTTTAGCATTTCTTTGTGGCAAATGCAATTACAGAAAAGAACTATCAACAATTTTACACATATTTTGCCAACATTATTTGAACATGTTTTCGAATGTTGGTATTTTTTTGATGGATTAGAAATCGAAGAGGCTAGTTGGTTAGGGATTTTAGTCCAGTTGGTTTTGCTTATTTGATGGTTTAGAAATCGAAGAGGTTAGTTTTGCAACCAAGACATGAAAATAGTAACAAGCAGCATCAGGTTAAATGAACACCAAAACTTGAATTCCTGTGAAGTTTTGATCTTTAGAGCATTTCCTTTTTCATCCATGTATTATAATATAATAACTAGCAAGGTTGGGATGCTGACACTTGACACTTGATACATGTTAATTCTTTTTATATTTGGGTTAGTTGAAACTTGAACAAAGTTACATATATAATTCATGATTAAGTTTCTCTACTAGTCTTGTTGAAAACTGTGATGTAGGTCAAAATGGGAGCCTAGAGAAGTTTTCTCACTTTGGTTGCTTCTAGGGTCGGCAATATGGGTCACAACACAATTCGAAAACGATATGAATTTTGTGGGTTAGGGTTGAGAAAAAAGATGTTCGGGTCAGAATCAGGTCGACCTGAAATTGACACGAAAAACATGGGTCAATTTCGGGTTAGACCCACCTAACCCAAACATGACACGAAACTCGTAAAAAACTAAAAAATACATATATTTTTCATTTCATATTTTAAATTTTATTATGAACTTGTGATATCATGATAGTTATACTTAAAATCTTATACTTTTATTTGCTTAATTTCAATGGATGTTATTGTAATTTAGTGTGTTATGAATTTTAAGTTATTTCTAATATGTAAAAAACTAATAAAAGTATACAATTTTCGTGTCAATTTCGGATTCACGGGTCAATTTCGTGTCACGGGTCATTTTCAGGTCGTGTCGTGTTAACTCGTGTCGTGTCAACTTGTAAAGTAGTCGTGTCGTGTTCGTGTTGCGGTTTTTAAAAAATTTCGTGTCACGGGTCGTGTTCAGGTTGACTGTAAATTTTAAAAAAATGATCAAAACACGACACGTGACACGAATTGCTACCCTCCACAGAGGGGCACATTGATGTTCGGTTTTGAGATAAAAGTTCCAAGATTAGGATGTCTTTTTGTCAAGTTGGACTCTTCTTAGGCACCTCCACAGAGGGGCACATTGATGTTCGGTTTTGAGATAAAAGTTCCAAGATTAGGATGTCTTTTTGTCAAGTTGGACTCTTCTTAGGCACCTCCACAGAGGGGCACATTGATGTTCGGTTTTGAGATAAAAGTTCCAAGATTAGGATGTCTTTTTGTCAAGTTGGACTCTTCTTAGGCACCTCCACAGAGGGGCACATTGATGTTCGGTTTTGAGATAAAAGTTCCAAGATTAGGATGTCTTTTTGTCAAGTTGGACTCTTCTTAGGCACCTCCACAGAGGGGCACATTGATGTTCGGTTTTGAGATAAAAGTTCCAAGATTAGGATGTCTTTTTGTCAAGTTGGACTCTTCTTAGGCACCTCCACAGAGGGGCACATTGATGTTCGGTTTTGAGATAAAAGTTCCAAGATTAGGATGTCTTTTTGTCAAGTTGGACTCTTCTTAGGCACCTCCACAGAGGGGCACATTGATGTTCGGTTTTGAGATAAAAGTTCCAAGATTAGGATGTCTTTTTGTCAAGTTGGACTCTTCTTAGGCACCTCCACAGAGGGGCACATTGATGTTCGGTTTTGAGATAAAAGTTCCAAGATTAGGATGTCTTTTTGTCAAGTTGGACTCTTCTTAGGCACCTCCACAGAGGGGCACATTGATGTTCGGTTTTGAGATAAAAGTTCCAAGATTAGGATGTCTTTTTGTCAAGTTGGACTCTTCTTAGGCACCTCCACAGAGGGGCACATTGATGTTCGGTTTTGAGATAAAAGTTCCAAGATTAGGATGTCTTTTTGTCAAGTTGGACTCTTCTTAGGCACGTATTGATGTGAGTGTGATACAGTGATATGGTTTTACTTTTCTTTCTCTACTGTTTTCAGGAAGACATTTGAGGACGAGGATAGCTCTAATCATCTGTTCTTGTGTATTCAAAAATCTAGTCATGCACCAAATTGTTGACTGGTTTTTTGCCTTCTTTTTCCCTTCCAATTTTCCTATTATTGTTATAAGTTTCCCTAAACTTGAACGGTTTTTCATCCATGATCTTCACTCTCTCTATATCATGTTAGGAAAGTGTTTTTGGGTAAATTCCATCTACAACTACATCCATAAAATTCTCTCCCTCAACATTTAGATTTATCATCCATTTCTAATTATTCAAATAGAATCACTCTGCACCTTCAACAATGGCAACTATTTTTTATTAATTAAATTTTATTTTCTGATAATTGGACTATCCTGCTAATATAATAAACAGAAAATTACGTTTTATGAAATTTTTATTAATTATTATATTTCCTTACAATTCTATGGTTCGAGCAATTTGTACTATTAGTTCTAGTAGGTGATACTTTGATTACTCTTCTTTTAATTTGAGTAAAACGACCCTTGAACTCTCAAAAGAATAGTCAACAGGGAGGGAGGGTCTGTGACGATCTTGCTATGCGACAGTTAGAGCGGAGCTTTAACTATCTCGAGACGATTGCGGCGGGGCTGCGACAATCTTGTGATGTCTGGGGCGGGGACTCGAAACGGGGGCTCGGTCTGTTCGAAGGGAAGGACGGTTAGCTCAAAAAGGCTCATTCATCAAAATTCGCTTTACAATTTTTTCATAAAAAAAAAAGTTGCTTTATTAGTCATTAGTTGCCAAAAGATATACAATAAGAATGATAATATTAGCAAAAAGAAAGAAAGGGGGAAGAAAAACAATTTAGTGTTGAACTTGAATAATACAAATGGCAAAATGAGCAAAAATAAAAAGATCAATAATTTATCCAAATTCTATTGAATCGACATCAAATATCCCTCTAGCAACGATCATATGGTTTTATTTCCCATCTTTTTTACTTTCTCCTACAGAATCAAGATTGAGGAAAATTAATCATTCACAACCACTGCTGAAGAAAAATTAGTCATTCACAACCATTGATGAAGGATTCTTAGAAAAGTTAAGGATTAGTCATTCCACTCGCGCGTGGAAGGTAATTAAAAAGAGAGTTTCTCCTATAGGATCAGAAAAATGAAATTACTAATAGTTTTATTTTTTTTCAGCTGTCAAATTTTCATTAAAAATTGTCTGTTTACATACTTTTTCAATCTCATTTGATTTTGATCAGATCCGACAGTCATAAAAAACTGATCCTACTGATAGGACGGCCTACAAGAGACAATCTCAATTAAAAAAGAAAGAAAATGAGTTATTCTTTAGAGTTTGAACTCAAAAATACTACATTTATGAAAAAGCTAATAAGTTTTTACATCAAATGATATAAATAAATAACTAGACTTCAAAAGTAATACACAACTTAATTTACATTGCCTTTACATCTTCTCCTCTCATGATAGGTCGGGATTTGGTACTTAACAACTCCGGTAAACTTACTCCGACTAATGAACTAGTAACCTATCATTGATCAAATCTTTTCTGTTTTATTAGTGGACCCCCAAAATTTATTTTATATACAACGAAAGGAGAGGTCTGATGACACTTTTGATCTATTTTTTTCACATAAATTGAACATGCATCATGGCCCCGTTCATTTCGCCGATTCGAGTTTAGAATTCGAGTTTTACTACAGTAAAAAGCTCTCAGAAACAGTCACATCTAACTTTTTTGCTACAATAAAAAGCTCTCACACAAAATCACATCTTAACTCGAATTACAAACTCGAATTAACAAAGTGAGCGGAATATAACAAAAATATATTACTAATAACAAAAACTAAAATTATTATATTACGATGTAATTTTATAGTAAAATATGAAATGATTATAAAGTTACTATTTTACTATTATTAAAATCTTATAAAAAAATTTATATATTTCAATTATATACGTGATATATATACAAACACACACACTATTATATATATACATACATATTTTTTTCCCTCAAGGGGAAAAAAATCCCACTAAAATAACGACCACACCACTCCCCACACCCACAAAAAACAAAATATCAAACGCTGTCGTTTGAGTGGAATTCTTGCTTGTATAAAATCCCACGTGGTCAGTCTAGGGTTTCTTCACGAACTCTCGTCGTCTTCACCGTTGAGCTAACGACGCAGAAGCCATTTGTACCAGATAGACCCTCGACCTCCATAGCCAATCCACCATGGGTCGTATGCACAGCCGTGGGTCTGTATCTTTTACTCTTTATATATATATATATATATATATATATCTCTCTCTCTCTCTCTCTCTCTGTGCGTGTGTTTTCGTCTCCTTTCTAATACATTTTTTCTTTTCTTGCTTCCATTTTTGTGACTTTAACAGTAAAGGTATTTCCGCCTCAGCATTGCCCTACAAGAGGACTCCGCCGAGCTGGCTTAAGATCTCTTCTCAAGATGTAAGCTTTCTTCACATTCAAACTTTCGATCTTCATCCTTCTTGTTTGGCCTCCGAGAAATTTGCACGGAAAATAATCCGAAATGCTGTAATTTGCGCACTTTCAAATGCAATAGAACTGCAAAAACCATGATTTTTATTTATTTATTTTTTATATTTTTGGTTTAGTTTGAGGTTGAGGTCGGTCCCCTAATTCCTGAGCCTTTCTTCAGGTCGAAGAAAACATGTGCAAGTTCGCGAAGAAAGGTCTGACACCATCTCAAATCGGCGTCATTCTTCGTGATTCTCACGGTATTGCTCAGGTGAAGAGCGT